TTACAACTGGGAGATAACTCCGAATATCTGCCGGTCTAGCATCCACTCCTGCGGGGCCAGGATCCGGCGAGAGAGAGCGTCTGCTCACACGTTCTTCAGCCCCGGGAGATACACAGGAATCACCTGACAGTTGCACTGGTCGCATCAGAGGAGAAATTCCCACGTCTCCCGAAGGAGCGCTAGGGACACTGTGCCGCCTTGCTTCAGTATGTACGTCATGGCCATACGGTTGTCCAACTGAAGACAAACCACCTGGCCCTGAACATGCTCCCGGAAGCGCTCAAAAACCAACCGACAGCTCTCAGTTTTAAGACATTGATGTGAAGGCGGGCTTGGCTTTGGACCAGAGTCCGGACACCGACAGACTGCCCAGAACACCCCCAGCCAATGAGGGACGCAATGTAAGAGCTGGCGTCGGGATTTCCAAAGGGACCCCCTTGGAGAGATTCCTGACATTGGTCCACCACTGAAGGTGAGGAGACAACCACCTGGGGACTGTGAAACACTTCTCCAGATCCTCCGAGTGAGCCCACAGACTCGCCAAAGCTTGCTGTATAGGGCGCATCCTCAACCGCGCCCGCCACATGACAGAGATAGTTGCCGCCATATGACTCAGTAGACAGAGCCAAGTCCGCGCTGGTGCTTGGGGCTGGGAGGGGAATGAAGACACCATCTCCTGTACTCTGGCGACCCGGTCGGGCAACAAAGAGACAAGACCCTTGTGAGTTGTGAACCCAAGAAAAACCAAGTCCTGTTTGGGTACCAGGTCGGATTTCTTGAGGTTTATGATCCACCCCAGTCGAACTAGAATGTCTATCACGGTGTGGGTAGAATCTAGGCTCGCTGGCTGAGTTAGAGCGCTGAGCAACCAGTCGTCTAGGTAAGGGTAACAACGCCTTCCTTGCGACCTTGCGAGGGTAGCCGGCACTAACATGAGCTTGGTGAACACCCTGGGGGCAGTGGATATGCCGAAGGGGAGCACCGTGAATTGGTAACACATCCCGTCGTAAGAGAACCGGAGGTACTTTTTGAACGATGGATGAATTGGCACATGTAGATACACATCCTTTAGGTCGATCAACATAGGCCAATCGCCGGGCTAGAAAAGAGGAGATCACTGAGCGAAGTGTCTGCGATTCAACGCCTTGAGGTTGAGAATGGGATGGAACCCGCTGTCCTTCTTCAGAACGAGGAAGTACGTAGAATAAAACCCCGCCTGTTCCTCGCCCGGTGGTATGCGCTCTATTGCGGACTTGTCCAGCAAAGCCTGAACTTAGTCTCGCAGTATACCTGCCTTGACCGGACATGACGGCACCGGAGTGCGTCTTATGCCGGTGAACTCTGGCGGGCCTCGCTTTCACAGTGGTAGATGGCTGACACTGATGGTGGATAGCACCCAAGTGTTGCTGGTAGCCTTTTCCCACTCCGGTAGGAATAGAGAGAGGCGGCCCCCACTGGAACGTGTGGTAAGAGTGCGTGAGTGGTCGCCTGCAATGAACTGGCTGGGACGGACCAACGGTGACAGCCTGCAGGTTTAACGGGAGGTCGGGGCAGACCCCTGCGACCTCAAAAAAGGCTGCTGGGAACCAGACGAAGATGCCTGTTTCTTGCCCTTACTTTTGGCGGGACAGCTCCTCCTCCTACCTCTACACAGCGGCCGAAGCCAGCCGGCAGACTCGGGCGTAGGCTGCGCCCCGGAGGAAGAACCCACTACGGGAGCGTGGGAACGAGAAGCCAGCGGTTGCTCCAACAAGGCCTTAGAGTCATCGAATCGAGCAAAAGTATGCCTCGTGGACCGAGACCGGCCCCTGCTGCATGGCATTCCGGCAGACTTCCTCGTAATTCCAGTATGCCTGCCACAAACGCTTCCCCCGGCTGGCGGAACTCAGTCGACTCCCGAGCGACATGTCGGCCCCACGGCTTGGGGAATATACTCGGCAATACATTGCCTAACCTCCCAGAGAGCCGACGAAAAACGGAAAGTACCCTCCGACTCCTCGACCTCCCCAACCTCCATAGACTCGGCACCCGAGCCCGAGTCAAAATTCGGATCTCCACGTGAAGAGGAGCCGAACCCCGACCCGGCGGGTGGACGAGCCACAGACGCCGCGGGAAGGGAAGAGCTAAAGGAACTCTCAGCTCCGGCCACCGACACAACACTCGAAACCCGGTCCCGAGACACGGGAGGAAGGCCAGACAGAACCGGCTCCTCCGCTCTCATGGGCCGGGGCAGCGCAGGGACCGGAACCCCATGAATCCGCGACGGACCCTGCGCCAACACCGAGAGAGGGACTGGGAATGAACCCTCCCCCTCCGGGGCAGCCGGACCCAAAGCCAAAGGCAAAGGATTGACAGACACCTCCAGGCCAAGGGATCAAGCCGAGCTCGGCGATCCCACCCCCGGACTCTCTGTCATCAGAGTGGGCGAGGAACTCCTGCCGGAGACCTCCAACCGACTCGTGAACGAGGGACTTCACGGAGTCCATATGCTGCTGAAATTATTGAGTAATAAGTGACATATCAAAACCACAGGACGGAGACGGAGAGTGTGACCTATGCGAAGACTTAGATTTAGTTTGCTTAGCCTTTTTGGCCTTGGACGGGGGGAACCTCCTGGGTCAGGTCCCCTCCCATCTCACACAATTCCTTATAAAAAAGGAAGTCAGCCGCCCGTCTCTTCTGGGCCTGGGGGGAGAAGCCCATGCACAACTCACTGATATCAGGGTTATGCCCTGCCTTCTCCAGGCAGCATAAGCATTTGTCATGCTTATCGGATGAAAATTACGTGAATGTGACAACACGACATGAAATATTTGGTTAAGAACGCAATATTTCAACCACGTGGCACGCTAAAATTCCCGCCATGGAATAGCAACACGTGCGTAAACCACTGGAAAGCTAGCGTAAAAGTTTAATACAAAGTCACATAAAAGAGAAATAACAGACTGCAAAGTCCAGAAAACGTTTCTCAAAACGGATAAAGACCATACATACAGTTGTTGAAGTCTCAGACATTCTTCTACAAGAAGTAAATCGGATAGTAACTCTTGGGTAAATACGTGTGAACGCTAGAGTGACAGCAGAAGGAATGATGATACGGGCCTAGGTGCTTACCTGGTTGGCTGCGCATGCATAGCAGGGAGGTAACTCCACGTGGTGGGGGCCGTATAATAGATAATAAAGATTTTTATTTATTGTACAATATTTTTTTTAAAACATTGATACAACTGTCACATGACATTTTCATCCGCAGAAAATGCATATATGTACCCCAAGGACGATCTCTATGAAAAAGAATTGTGTTGTTTGTTGGCCTTGCAGTTAGATACAAGAAAAAATTGTGTCCAGGGACACGGATGCCCCCGCTGCTGTAGGAAGAGTTCACACATTCAGGGTCCCACTGAAGTAGTTGAAAACACTAAAAACAATGTGTTGAGGGGTTAGATAACACAACCTATTATCATATAAAGATCAATAATTGAACAAAATTCACGAACAAGTTCAATAAACATCTATGCAACTATGAGATGCACACCTTTCGAGTCCCAATGAAACACACGTATAAGCTTAATCAATTCTGATGAGCAGTTTTTGTGGAGAAGTGGATAGACCTAATCCCCTATTTCACTATCATCAGAGAGAAATTCAACAAAATTTATCTAAGTTCAAATGTCTCTAAACATACAAAAAAATATAAAATACAAAAGCAAAATATGAGATGCACACCTTTAGAGTCTCTATAAAAGACATATGTATGGTAAATGAGTTTTGTGCAGTGGTTTTTCAGGAGGAGTGATTAACGTACACCCCCTGTTGGATGGAACGAACAGGCTGAATAGAACAAATTCAACTAAGTTCAAACATCTCTAAAAGTGACAAAATTAAGAAATTTCATAAACAAGTATGAGATGCACACCTTTAGAGTTCCAATGAAACACACGTAGAAGCTCAATCAATTCTGTTGAGCAGCTTTTGTGGAGAAGTGGATAGACTTCACCCCCTACAACACTATATTCAGAGAGAAATTCAACAAAATTTATCTAAGTTCAAACGGCATTAAAATTAAAAAAAAAAAAAAAAAAAAAAACGAAATCAAAATATGAGATGCACGCCTTTAGAGTCCCTATAAAGCACATGTGTAATCTAAATGAATTCCATGAAGTAGTTTTTTAGGAGAAGTGGATAGCGTACACCCCCTGTTGGATGGAACAAACACTGGCTGAATAGAACAAAATTCAACTAAGTTCAAACATCTGTAAAAGTGACAAAATTAAGAAATTGCATAAAAAATTATGAAATGCACACCTTTAGAGTCCCTACAAAAGACATGTAGAAGTTCATTCAATTCTGCTGAGCAGTTTTTTGTGGAGAAGTGGATAGACTTCATCCCCTATTACACTATCATCATAGAGAAATTCAGCAAAATGTACCTAAGTTCAAATGTCTCTAAACTTACAAAAATAAACAATAAAATATAAACAAAATATGAGATGCACACGGTACCATTAGAGTCCCAAGAAAGCCCATGTATAAGTTCATTGAATTCCAAAGAGCGGTTATGGTGGAGAAGTGGATAGAATACATTCCCTGTTTCGTACGGACGGACGGACGGACACCGGATGGCGTGGGCATAATAATTGAAGATGGAACCTTGTGACAGATGTTTCTGGACAAAGAAGTCTGACCAAGAAGTAGAGCAAGAAGTCTGCAATGAAGTAGGGTTCCAAACATGTTGATGGTAATGTGTCTGAAAATAGGATCATTTCTGGTCATGAAGCGATCCAGTCAAGGAGCAGTGCAGTTACAAATAGTGAAAGCTGCTGCCTCTGAGTAATGTTTTATTGTCATTGCAGCCAGCAATATCACTTCTCATTTTCCATGACCTGGCAAGATCACTTGGTTTGGATTCTTACGTAAATCATTGTGAACAATATTCAACAGATACTCATGGTGTTCATCTCCCTCAAATACCATGCACCATCTTTAAAGGAGTAGCTTACCTCAAGGATTCCACTGTCTCCTCCTGTGTAGGAGTGGAGAAGGTTTTCAAAGCATCTTCCAATACATTTCCTTCAAGAACACCTTCATTAGACCTCTCAAGCTCTGCAAATCTGTGACAAGGGAACAAGTTGGGATTGATTGCTTTATATTAATTCCATTACATGCTGACTTAGGGTCTACACCCGATCATTTCATTGGTAAACTAGTTGTAGTTCTTTGCAAATTGTGCCACAACACTAGCACAGAACCTTACATACAACTTCTACTTACAGCTGGATGCTCCCCAGCTCCTCACACTGTTACACTATCCTACTACCAGTACTGACCCTTATGTACAACTTCTACTTACTGCTGGATGCTCCCCAGCTCCTCACACTGTTACACTATCCTACCACCAGTACTGACCCTTACATACAACTTCTACTTACAGCTGGATGCTCCCCAGCTCCTCACACTGTTACACTATCCTACCACCAGTACTGACCCTTATGTACAACTTCTACTTACAGCTGGATGCTCCCCAGCTCCTCACACTGTTACACTATCCTACCACCAGTACTGACCCTTATGTACAACTTCTACTTACTGCTGGATGCTCCCCAGCTCCTCACACTGTTACACTATCCTACTACCAGTACTGACCCTTATGTACAACTTCTACTTACAGCTGGATGCTCCCCAGCTCCTCACACTGTTACACTATCCTACCACCAGTACTGACCCTTATGTACAACTTCTACTTACTGCTGGATGCTCCCCAGCTCCTCACACTGTTACACTATCCTACTACCAGTACTGACCCTTATGTACAACTTCTACTTACAGCTGGATGCTCCCCAGCTCCTCACACTGTTACACTATCCTACCACCAGTACTGACCCTTATGTACAACTTCTACTTACTGCTGGATGCTCCCCAGCTCCTCACACTGTTACACTATCCTACTACCAGTACTGATCCTTACGTACAACTTCTACTTACTGCTGGATGCTCCCCAGCTCCTCACACTATTACACTATCCTACCACAAGTACTGACCCTTACATACAACTTCTACTTACTGCTGGATGCTCCCCAGCTCCTCACACTGTTACACTATCCTACCACCAGTACTACACTATCCTACCACCAGTACTGACCCTTACGTACAACTTCTACTTACTGCTGGATGCTCCCCAGCTCCTCACACTGTTACACTATCCTACCACCAGTACTGACCCTTATGTACAACTTCTACTTACAGCTGGATGCTCCCCAGCTCCTCACACTGTTACACTATCCTACCACCAGTACTGACCCTTATGTACAACTTCTACTTACTGCTGGATGCTCCCCAGCTCCTCACACTGTTACACTATCCTACCACCAGTACTGACCCTACGCACAACTTCTACTTACTGCTGGATGCTCCCAGCTCCTCACACTGTTACACTATCCTACCACCAGTACTGACCCTTACATTACAACTTCTACTTACTGCTGGATGCTCCCCAGCTCCTCACACTGTTACACTATCCTACCACCAGTACTGACCCTTACATACAACTTCTACTTACTGCTGGATGCTCCCCAGCTCCTCACACTGTTACACTATCCTACCACCAGTACTGATCCTTACATACAACTTCTACTTACAGCTGGATGCTCCCCAGCTCCTCACACTGTTACACTATCCTACCACCAGTACTGACCCTTATGTACAACTTCTACTTACTGCTGGATGCTCCCCAGCTCCTCACACTGTTACACTATCCTACTACCAGTACTCACCCTTATGTACAACTTCTGCTTACTGCTGGATGCTCCCCAGCTCCTCACACTGTTACACTATCCTACCACCAGTACTGACCCTTATGTACAACTTCTACTTACTGCTGGATGCTCCCCAGCTCCTCACACTGTTACACTATCCTACCACCAGTACTGACCCTTATGTACAACTTCTACTTACAGCTGGATGCTCCCCAGCTCCTCACACTGTTACACTATCCTACCACCAGTACTGACCCTTATGTACAACTTCTACTTACTGCTGGATGCTCCCCAGCTCCTCACACTGTTACACTATCCTACCACCAGTACTGACCCTTACATACAACTTCTACTTACTGCTGGATGCTCCCCAGCTCCTCACACTGTTACACTATCCTACCACCAGTACTGATCCTTATGTACAACTTCTACTTACTGCTGGATGCTCCCCAGCTCCTCACACTGTTACACTATCCTACTACCAGTACTCACCCTTATGTACAACTTCTACTTACAGCTGGATGCTCCCCAGCTCCTCACACTGTTACACTATCCTACCACCAGTACTGACCCTTATGTACAACTTCTACTTACTGCTGGATGCTCCCCAGCTCCTCACACTGTTACACTATCCTACCACCAGTACTGACCCTTATGTACAACTTCTACTTACTTCTGGATGCTCCCCAGCTCCTCACACTGTTACACTATCCTACCACCAGTACTGACCCTTACGTACAACTTCTACTTACTGCTGGATCTCTGCAGGAAGCAGAACATTACTACTGCTGACACTTGTACAGAACCACTTTAGAAAACCAGACACTGTCTCATTTTCAAACATCCAGTTGAACATCTGTGGGTCCAGGCTGTCTGCATTTGGGTAGTCCAGTTGCTTAAGTGTCTCAAGAAACTGTCTCCCACTCATCTTTCTTTCTGCAACATACCCAAATATATTCAAGGTACTGCCCATGTCATAGCATTCACAAAGTCCCCAGACTTGTGTGTCTCTGGACTCAGGAATGAGCAATCATCAAGCAGCACCCTGCAAACAAACAAAAACGTACATTGCTCTTTTTCCACCATTTACATGCCCTGGTGGCGCTACATCATGCCCCACACCATTCATGTTGGTTACAGTAGCAGTGAAAACAGCTTGGTCAGCATTCTATTCCATGTGTTGAGTTGTTGCAGTCTACAAGCAGGTAGTGGTGGAAACATTTCTTCAAATGTTGCAGCTACCTCAACCCAAAACAACCAGCAACACAGACCTCGGCTGAGTACATTTGTTTTCTTAAACCTACATGATTAAACTGAAGCATATTAATATTAAAATTTACATTGTTTTAGTGCTGCACAGTATTGTGGATATTCACACACTAAACAGATAATAAAAACATGACCAAGTTAAATATTGAAAAGTCAAAATTTACTGTTTCATTATGTTTGACACACATTTTTTCTCTACATGAGTGGTTGACGGCAATTGGGTGGCTAATCAAAGATCTCAGAAACATGCCTCCTTTTGGTATAACTAAAATTGCTCTGGGTAACACAATACTTTATTACACTACAACTAAACAAAATTAAATTTTAACGGAAGCACTGAAGGGACCTGATGAAATAAAATTTATCTTGAGCGCACGAGTTAGTATGCTGAGTGAACAAGTTGATATACTGAGCGCACGAGTTAGTATGTTGAGTGCACAAATTAATATACTGAGCGCACGAGTTAGTCACAGGCCCTCATGTCTTTGGGAAGATTAAAATAAAATAGTTTTGAGATGACCCCCGACTCGAAAAGCCTCACAGTACAATACATTGTGACAAGGCAAGACACTTCGGTGTACCCTACCCCGCCTGCTTTGCCGGTCGCTACGCTACCATCGTATACAATCAATTAAAACTTAATGTAAACATAATCATGGATGATTGGAATATCGATCACCACTCATGGCACCTACCAATTCTTTATTGTTATTTCTGCAAGTTGATTGAAACCCAACGATTTTGACTCAACTAAACGATCTTGACACAAATTGATGACGATATATCCGCACAAAACGGGGGTGAGGTCGAAGCAAGTCATCTGGTTGGTTGATGTGTGTAAAGGTGACATTTACAACTAATGCTTTCTTTTGAGAAGCTATTGCTCGAAAAATGTTCTTACATTAAACAGTCGATGGAAGGAAAAATTCGTGCAGATTTGCAAAGCGGTGACCTATCAGAGGCTTTGCTTCGACCTCACCCCCGTTTTGTGCGGATATATCGTCATCAATTTGTGTCAAGATCGTTTAGTTGAGTCAAAATCGACTTGCAGAAATAACAATAAAGAATTGGTAGGTGCCATGAGTGGTGATCAATAGGCCAATCATCCATGATTGTGTTTACATTAAGTTTTAATTGATTGTATGAGGTGGTAGCATAGTGATGGGTAAAGCATGCAGGTGGGGTACAACAAAGTGTCCGGCCTTGTCATAATGTATTGTACAGTGAAGCATTTCAAGTCAGGGGTCATCTCAAATATTTTATATTTTTCTTACAATCTTTAATTCTCACAAAGACACGAGGGCCTGTGGAGTTGAGTGCACAAGTTAATATATTGAGCGCATGAGTTGGTATGTTGAGTGCACAAGTTAATATACTGAACGCACGAGGTAGTACGTTGAGTGCACAAGTTAATATACTGAGTGCACCAGTTAGTATGCTGAGTGCACAAGTTGATATATTCAGGGCTCCAGATAACTTTTGGGGGTGCGAGTGTACTTACACATCATATTGCAAGTGGAGGTGTACTGAGAATTTGAAGGAGTACTGACATGTTTTTGTGTGAGCGAGTTGGTGATGTGGTTTGTCTGGATGATTCATCGAACACTATTTCCAACCATATATTTGTATTTGAAGACGCATGAGAAATAACTGAGCGACCGTGTGATGCGCGAAATGTCAGGTCCGACTGGATATAAATAGGAACAGTGTAGTTTTTAGCCAATCGAAAAATAGTGACGCATATCGTTGCATGGCAACGCAAGGGATTCCTACTGTCGGGGTTTCCTCATGTGTCAAATCGTGTTTCGCAAAAGAAACTTGACAAGTATTTATCCGAAATAGATTTACATTTGCACGATACGCACAGAAATTAAATGTTAGACGTACAAAGGTATTTATGTGCGTACACTATACGCTTGAAATCTTATATTATGTCGTACTTAATTGATTTTGAGGCGTACATTACGCCTGTACGCCCCTTATCTGTAGCCCTGTATATTGAGCACCTGATAATGACTTATCTCACAATGTTCTAAATCTTCCATATTTAAAGTATTACTATTATGTTTTTGGGTCATCGGACCTTTGCTTTGGCAGATATCACCATAATGCTGACATTAGATCTCAGGTGCCTTAGGGGCTATTATTGATGAAAGTATCAGCGAAATTGCATCAGGCGTTATGGTCGAAGTAGTACTAACAAAATTCGGTACAAATAATCATAATAACCAAGCTAAAACAATTGGTCTTACAAGACTTTGTCTAAATAAGACCTAATAATTAAGAGCATTTTATGATGATGATGGAGAAGCATGTACAATGTGACAGACCCCCCCTAAAATTTATGTACAAAGTAAGTGACCCCCTGCATGTCATGTACAAAATCAATGACCCCTTCCCCCTTCCCATATTTTGTAAGCATAATTTTAAAATATTTTTATGTACAAAATTGATGACCCCCTACCTCCCCAGAACAAAATAGGTGACAATAAGACTTCCGTTCATATCCTCCCCAAATTTTAGCGATGAGGAAAAATTTCTTTGAGTGGCAATATTAGAAGTTGCATATGTCTTTCAGTATGTTCAAGTACAATTAAAGAAACATGTTAAAAACCCATCCTTATCAGATGAGGAATATATATTCAGGTGATACGATTTGACTAGAATGAAATTTAAGGGGGAATACGGGAGGAAATCTTTCCAAGACATTAACTTGTGCACTGAACATACTAACTCGTGCGCTCAAGATAAATTTTATTTCATCAGGTCCCTTCAGCGCTTCCGTATATTTCAAACTATGTCTGAAAAATAACTTCATGCATGTTCATGCACATCATGTTTACAGTCACCAGCTGGTATCTCCATGGAAAGACGGACCTGCAGTGGTAAATGCTTCAAAGTTCCCCTTCTACCATCGATGTATCATTTGAGGTGGATAATTAACTCAGATCGTCACACACAGCACGACATGTCAGTCGACTGACAGCATATTTACTTCGTAATGACCCGCCATTAGTGGAATCGGCTGGTCGATGAAAGAAGATTGATGATTGGTTCGAATAAACAATTCTATCAGAGCATCCAATCAAGAGATGCGTTTGAAACCGAGATACTTCCGGTTTAAAATGGCGGCTGAATCAAATGTTTCTAAATAGATACGACAGTTTATAATAAAACACGCGCTGCTCTAAGCATGAAAGCCAAAGCAAGTGCACGTGCTAAGGTAAGGTAATACGTCTCAAACATAATGTTGAAACATATATAGATGTATTGATAAGTTTAAATGTCAGGTACGTTACGTCGTCTTTCTGCGGCGACTGAGAACCCAATAAATTGTCTTTACTTTTAGAATTGACATTTGCATCTATTAACAGCAGATGCATGTAAGCCAAACTATATTTTTACCAATTTAAATGTGCCGTTTTATTTCATATGTGGATTGTCAAGCCGAGTAAAGTATTTTATCATGGTAAAATTAACCATAATTCAAATACATGTTGTATTTGTAATTTGTATGTTTGTTGTTTAACCCCCTGGGTCATATAGATCTATGTCCTTCCCCTTCAACCCTCAATTTGAAGTCCAATAAAAATAAAAATATCCCACGCACACGAATACACTTCACAGTTTCGAATTCTACGGGAGATTTACTCTTTCTTGATACCATCCACTATTATTTTAGACAAAGCTCAAGTGCTGAAAATGATCTTTCAAAGTAGGCTTCATCGAAAATGTCGCCATTGTTGACACAGTACGAAATCGCGATTCACAGCGTTATTTGCTGTATGTTTTGAAATGTGAAAATCGGATAATAACTGGGAGTATTGAATTTCAAAAAATAACATATTCATGATCACTGATATCAGTTTTACATGAAATCGCTAATGATAATTCTGAAATGTTGCCGAAGAATCTAGAATCGGTTTCGAAAATACACTTACACGAACGCCGTAGAGCGCTTTCCGCCATATTGGATAGTGTTTACAAAAATTCACGTTTCACTAAGGCCGGTATTGAGACGCCTATTACATAACGTACATTTCATATTCAGCTTCGAAAAATGCATCACTGAATTCCTCATACATTTTAGAATCATTTTACAAATGGCCTTTGTCACCAATACCAACTGTCTAGATAAAATGCGACGAAACATAATGGGTGTGAAAACGAACCCTGTGCTCGAAAGACTGCGCCTGTTTGAAATGTAAACAAAGACAAATTCCCGATATTACACTGCATAGCATTTTCTGAAGTTTTCCAACATTCATATGTCTATTCATTGCTTGCAATGGCTCAATACCTTTGGAATATGCATGGAAAGAGTATCGTAGCCAGAAATAGGAAATTATAAATAGATACAATGCAATGATTATATAATTCATAAGAAATTGTCAAAGTTTCTGTGTAGCGTGACGCCATGACTGACATAAAATCACACAGAACGACAACGGTAATTATCTGCATTTCTGGCTTCTTCTCTTACTTATAATGAAAACGATAAAAACATATAACAATACACAGATAGTCAGAATCATTCTGATGACTTACATCTCATATTTATGTACAAACGATCCCTGAATCAATGGAAGGGTCCTCGCGAAATCCTGTGTACCCTTGTCGGCAAAGCCGCCATTTTGTAAGAAATCGGTCAACGGTAGTGATGTCATACGTCAACATTGTTGTACATATTAGGCAATTTCTTTGAGGTGAAGGTCTGTTGAACAAGAGTAAACACAATCACCCAATCCTTCCGATTACACTGATGTATATTTTGCATGTAGTTGGATATTTTTTCATGAAACTGACTTCAGTATCTACATTTAACCTTGTTCAATATCATATCATACGTGCATATAGGGTTTACTGTGTTTTATTCTTTGAAAGTTTTCGATTGTTTGAATAATATTTACATAAGAAATTGACACATTTAGCATAGTACACCACATTCTAAACCTTTACACAAGTGTTAGAAGATCAAACGTAGCCATAACTGCAACTACTTTAGTTCCTATGATGTACAATATTCAATGCATTTGGACTCACATTGCAGTTTCATATGAACAGGTTAATGAACGGCGATTAAATTCAACCTTATAAGTAAAACTGATAATATTAATGAAAGTGATTTATATATGTTATGAAATATATATGCACACATATTTAAAGGAATTGTCTTGTTCATTGCATATTTTTGTGTCGTTTTATAGACAAAACAATGATGTATATTGATTGGCCAGGTGCGCATTTGTCGAAAACGCTTTATCATTGTTTTCGATAATATAATCAATTCATCTTCGATTAAAAAATATTGTGATGACAGGATATCAAACTCTAACTATATTTATACGAAAATTGTTTAAAAATATATAAACCATGTCTTAATTTGGACAAATCTTACATCCATATTCTAATATATAGTTCCATATATAAAAGCTATCTTTTTGCATCTTTCATTGCATACTTATGAAGAGAAATAGCTACTTTATCCTAAACAAAATATTCGGGGTGTTGTGAAATATTATTTTTCATATACGTTAAATTGATTCCAAACAGGTGCGCGTGTTGCTCACAATAAGATACACAGTCAAACCGTCTAATTGTTGATATATTCAGGACACTATTTAAATGGAAAAATCAGTCATTTATGGTTTGTCTAAAGAGTGTTAAATTCTGACATAGAAGCCGAGACCTTTATACAATTAATGGAAATTAGGCGAGATATATACTAATCAGCATACCAATGTCGTCTTTTTCCGACGTCGCAAAATGCATAAAACAAGCAATGACTAAAATGTTGTATTATTTTCAGCAATTTCATTACATTTGAAGATATGGCTAGTATTCTGGTAATAACGATGCAAAATTAGCCAAAATACATCTACACATACAGGAGAATATGGGAATCCAAGAACTAACGTATATATCGGATAGGACCATCCAAATCGCTATTACGTGATTTCACATGTGGTACGTTGTCGTCTTTTCTTATAAATTGTGAACTACCAAAGCTTATCCGCTCACATTGGGGAACTTTGAATTGGAATAGTTTGTTTCACCGAGAACAAAAAGTACCGAAAATATAGCATCCGTATCCACAACAAATTCAGCTCCATGTGATCTGAGTTACATTGACCTATTGATAAGCATCCCAGAGTTATGCCCCTTATCATTATATCGTGAATGACCTCTCTGTCGTCGCTTTGACGTCATAGAAGAAAATCCATTTTTGACATTTATTATGCGAGTCTTTTTAATGTTGAGCATATAACGTTATGCATAAGCACATAAGCCCAATTCATATACACTAATGTCGTTCAGATATCAGGCTGTATTTTCTTCGCTCACACTTTCCGTAAAGATGCCAAATTATAAAAGTCGTAGCACAGTGCTTTTATCGGTGCTGCGATAAAAAGCGGAGAAATTTACTGTGTTTTAACGCATAACAAAAATTTGGACAACATTCAGCAAGGTCTATTTCTCAAACCGCCAAGGTAGCTGCACTTATATTTATACCAACAGATAGGAAATTTAATATTCTACATTTCTGTGTAATTTTATAGCCGTACATAGATCCAGGACCACGCGAGCGCAATTCTCGCACAACGCTCACTTTTCAAACTTTATGAAAATGTGCGCCTGAAAAAAAACTAGGCATCCAGGGGGTTAACACCACATGCAACAATATTCAAGTTATACGACGGCGGTCTGTAGTGTAAGAAATCAAGTCTGGGTCAAACAGTCCAGATCCCGCTGATCAGTTGCTGAAGATCAATTCTAGCTCTGATCTGTGAAATGGGTCTGTTATGTTTGTATTACAAGTTGGGAAAAGATATACTGTACACCAACACAATCTATTGTTCTATTGTTATTATATAAATAATATTTATGTGGTATACATGTCATGTTCACTGGCAAATACAGGGCTAGTCCATTGTCTATTTGATGCATTGAAACAATAACCGTTAACCCCACTAACATATCCTATCCTGCATGCGATGCTTCAGCAGGTGTAGCCTGTTCAGATTTGTGTGCTTTACATATTGTTTTGCATGAATGTATTCATGTGTTACAGTTATAATATTATTCCCCTTAAACACTGCTGCATTTTATCATTTCGTTTTACCGTGGGGTGTGTGTGATAATCTGCAATACACAAGAACATACAGTTGCATAAAAGTCTGGTATGGGCAGCTTTTAAAGTTTGATTACAGAAATTGGTCAGTACTGACTAGCATGTTAATGTCAAGTCTTACATGATGATGCTTCTAAAAGTCACTTAGACTGGTCTAGACATTAATTGGTCATGGTAGCGCTGATTGGTGCAGGGCTCTTACTACAATGAATATATCATAAACATTAGGTAGGTTTAATTGTCAACAGCAACCTCTTAATTTCAAATGTCTGAGGGGCGGTGGGGTAGCCTAGTGGTTAAAGTGTTGGCTTGTCACGCCGAAGACCCGGGTTCGAATCCCCACATGGGTACAATGTGTGAAGCCTATTTCTGGTGTTCCCCGCCGTGATGTTGCTGGAATATTGCTAAAAGTGGCGTAAAACCAAACTCACTCAAATGTCTGAACAGGTTTTTAACATGTTAACATTTTTGTTTCTGAACAGATGAATTAGCTTGTTGTTTTATGTGAGATACATTAGGGTGGTTTGTGAATAATTGATATGAGCACAGGGATCAAAGACATTCAGTGAAACCAGTCACAATGTCTGACCATGGGACTCATAAGGTCATGCCTTATGACAAGCAGTGATCAGTGAGGACAGTGTTTGAAATAGTGCATGCCCGTAAGCCTGTGGTAGGTAGGGGCCTTTACTTTCGAATTTTGTTAACTTATTATATGGTAAATTTACATATTGATTACTGGTATTCTGCAGAGGCAAAGGTCTCACAGGATTTTTACAATAATTTGTTGATTGGTGCCTATATTAATGCTTAATGGGATATCTGGCACATTCTAGTAGATGGATTTCTTGTAAATACTATTGGGACTTATTGGCTGTTTTAAAAAAACATTTTATGTCAGTCTGCCAGCTGTTCTATTACTGAATGTACACATCCTTATTTCTGATTAATTTTTTGTTTGTTTTTTGTTTTGGGGTTTGAAGAGTTTAGTTTGCAGCTTCTATACCCTAACACCCTGACAGACAGACAGTACTTTACATTTTATACATCAGTAGGGTTTCTACCAGTGCTCGCTCAGAATCCCTACATGGTTGACAGTTACAAGAAATGGCCTTCATATGGTTAAACATGTTCGATATTGATCAGCAGACACATCTCGTGCATTGGTTTCTGTGACTGTGCAGGGCTCCAGATAAGGGCCGTATCGGCGTATGTACGGATACAAAATATGCACAATACAGTAGCAAATAATTTAGAAAACGTAACAGGTACGCACCACAGCAATGGTGTATGGTCTTAGAATCATTTACAGACGTATTTATCTGAAAAAAATATTGGTTTATTGTTTTTTGGCCTGTTTACACAAGACTATCAATGTTGTGGTGCATATATGAAACGAAACACAAGATTACTGATACGCCATTAAATTCCACTCAGTACTCTAAATGTACTCTTAAGGTTTTCCAGTACTCCTGTAGTAAAAAAAAAATGGAGTATGTACTCCTGATGTTGACAAATTATCTGGAGCCCTGCTGTGTCATGAGCTAAGGTGTATTATTTAAATACCATAAGGTTTCTCTGACTTTCATCTTTCTTTTTCTTAGAAACTGAAAGGGCAGAGTGAGGTGTTCCTGCAGTCCCTCGTCAATAGAAATATTGGAAGGTAGGTGGAATGATCATATGTAGTCTATTTATCATCTTTGTTTTGTTAGGAATCTATTATGCAATGCATATAGAGCAGACATGAGTTACAACAGCCACACACAACTTCTTGTAATGGAGAATACTGGAGAATGATATAATGAGGAAGAAAATATCAGATTTCAAAGTTTATTGTCGTGTAACTTCAGTTGCTTCAAAGCAAAAATTTCACACAAACATTGTGGCTTTCTTTTTTTGAAAACAAGGGGGTTAAACCAAATGTGATTCACATGGTTTTCTCAAAACTGCATCTTTAACACCTAATGCTTCAAAATAATAATCACTTGATTTTACATGTTTCATGTTTGCTGGTTCTGAAACCCTTGAACTATTGAAGAAGCAAATAATGTCATTTTCCCCAAATGATAGACTACTCTCAGCACATTTTACAAATTAATAAATTATTATCCCAATCTCATGTTAACATCAATTTGGGCTTTTGAATAAAGTAATTACTGCTATTTACTTGCACTGATTTTTGGCTTTAGTACATGTAGAATATACTATAACCCCCATTGGTTGTCAACCTGCAGTCAATTGTTTATTCTTCTTTCTTTTTTTCAATTGGCTGTTTTTCTTGCTCGCCTGCAATAACTTTATATAAATTAAAGCAGTGGGCTTAAATATATACATAAGAGTGGAGATTTTCTTTTTTGGTTTCCACGTTGACACGTAATCTTGCCAGCTTTTTCCCAACAGCACAAATATGTAGTTTCATTTGAATAGCAAGGCATTTGTATTATTTGTAAATAAATTGATAATTACTTTAATCTTTGTTGTTGACTCTTATAGGGCATTTCTGGTACAGGAGTCACTGGTTGCAAGCCATATAGTGCAGTTTTAAGTGCAGTGCAGCATTACATGCCAACAGGGTAACAAGAGTCAGTGATTGTAGTTCCGAGATGGTTTCACCACTGTCATTAAATGAGATCTTAGCACTCTACTGCTGCAGAAAGATCTGAGAACATCTCATTACTGGTCCCATCAAAACCCTTGAATTTCATTAACATTTTTAACACCATCAAAATGCATGTACGTACATAATGGAATGGGTAAGGGAGGTAACTCATATTGCCTATAAACCAAAGGCCATCGGTTTTATGGACATGAAGAGACAAATTCTATTTGAAAGAGACCCGTGAAGATCCGGGTTAGAATTGGTCTTCAGCAACCCATGCTTGCCACAAAAGGCGACTATGCTTGTCGTAAGAGGCGACTAACAGGATCGGGTGGTCAGGCTCGCTGTCTTGGTTGACACATGTCATCAGTTCCCAATTGCACAGATCGATGCTCATGCTGTTGATCACTGGATTGTCTGGTCCAGACTCGATTATTTACAAACCGCCGCCATATAGCTGGACTATTGCTGAGTGCGGCGTAAAACTAAACTCACTCACTCACCATTTGAAAGAGTTTTTAGGGCTTTGTTTTGCTTGTCAGTCAGATTTTCAATACTGAATTTCTCACACTCGATCATAATCAATGGGACTCACTACCACGCTCCCGTCATTGCCAAAGAAGCATTAAGGCTGGATTAGACCTAACAGAGTAGTCGATCAAACTGGAAAATGGAAATCAAAGGAAGATAATTTGCCTTCGGAAAAACATGGTAATGGATCCCGGAGTTTCTGTAGGTTCACTGAAATGCTTGCCCTGGAGATATAGACAATCCATGGGTTTCTGTAGGTTCACTGAAATGCATGCCCTGGAGATATAGACGATCCCGGAGTTTCTGTAGGTTCACTGAAATGCATACCCTGGAGATATAGACGATCCATGAGTTTCTGTAGGTTCACTGAAATGCATGCCCTGGAGATGTAGATGATCCATGAGTTTCTGTAGGTTCACTGAAATGCATGCCCTGGAGATATAGACGATCCCTGAGTTTCTGTAGGTTCACTGAAATGCATGCCCTGGAGATATAGACGATCCATGAGTTTCTGTAGGTTCACTGAAATGCATGCCCTGGAGATATAGACGATCCCGAGTTTCTGTAGGTTCACTGAAATGCATGCCCTGAGATATAGACGATCCCGGAGTTTCTGTAGGTTCACTGAAATGCATGCCCTTGAGATATAGGACGATCCCTGAGTTTCTGTAGGTTCACTGAAATGCATGTCCTGGAGATATAGACGCGATCCATGAGTTTCTGTAGGTTCACTGAAATGCATGCCCTGGAGATATAGGACGATCCATGAGTTTCTGTAGGTTCACTGAAATGCATGCCCTGGAGATATAGACGATCCCGGAGTTTCTGTAGGTTCACTGAAATGCATACCCTGGAGATATAGACGATCCATGAGTTTCTGTAGGTTCACTGAAATGCATGCCCTGGAGATGTAGATGATCCATGAGTTTCTATAGGTTCACTGAAATGCATGCCCTGGAGATATAGACAATCCATGAGTTTCTGTAGGTTCACTGAAATGCATGCCCTGGAGATATAGACAATCCATGAGTTTCTGTAGGTTCACTGAAATGCATACCCTGGAGATATAGACGATCCATGAGTTTCTGTAGGTTCACTGAAATGCATGCCCTGGAGATATAGACGATCCATGAGTTTCTGTAGGTTCACTGAAATGCATGCCCTGGAGATATAGACGATCCATGAGTTCTGTAGGTTCACTGAAATGCATGCCCTGAGATATAGACGATCCATGAGTTTCTGTAGGTTCACTGAAATGCATGCCCTGGAGATATAGACGATCCATGAGTTTCTGTAGGTTCACTGAAATGCATGCCCTGGAGATATAGACGATCCCTGAGTTTCTGTAGGTTCACTGAAATGCATGCCCTGGAGATATAGACAATCCATGAGTTTCTGTAGGTTCACTGAAATGCATACCCTGGAGATATAGACGATCCCGGAGTTTCTGTAGGTTCACTGAAATGCATGCCCTGGAGATATAGACGATCCCTGAGTTTCTGTAGGTTCACTGAAATGCATGCCCTGGAGATATAGACGATCCCTGAGTTTCTGTAGGTTCACTGAAATGCATGTCCTGGAGATATAGACCATCCAGGAGTTTCTGTAGGTTCACTGAAATGCTTGCCCTGGAGATATAGACGATCCCTGAGTTTCTGTAGGTTCACTGAAATGCATGCCCTGGAGATATAGACCATCCAGGAGTTTCTGTAGGTTCACTGAAATGCATGCCCTGGAGATATAGACGATCCATGAGTTTCTGTAGGTTCACTGAAATGCTTGCCCTGGAGATATAGACGATCCATGAGTTTCTGTAGGTTCACTGAAATGCATGCCCTGGAGATATAGACGATCCGTGAGAACAAGCTTTGGGAATCTTTGTCATATCATTGCAATATTAGTGTCAGGATTTCAACATTAACCTGTCACAAAGCCACAAAATGCGGCTTTATGAAACCTATTTCAAACTGGTGACTTCCATTGCAGTCTATGTCTTCTTTGGTCACATGGGCTTAAACTAGTAGGTTTATGGTTGAAATACCATCACATACTTTGAAAATTTTATAGCCATTGTATTGGCTTCCAAAGTGGAGATGATCATTTTCTTATCAGATTTTATCAAAATAAGTCTTGGCTGCCTTCTGGGTTACCTTTATTAGTGGTTAAATCTTTGGGCGTGTGGACAAGGTACCTAAGATTAAATATAAACGTAATTAGTTCAGATACCACCACAGGATATATATATTTTGTCATTTCTATCACTCAAAACATCTTCTCAAATTAATTTGATAAGCTTTGATTTCGCATGCATACTGTTAGAAAACATTAACACCAAATATATTCACTTAGATCTTTGAACTGTAGATTTGAGTTGGTTTTTTTATCTAACCAGCATACCTGACAATAGTCAGTAGTTCCACAGATGCTCCATTTATGCCCTCTTCCACTTATGTCACAAGGAGTTCCGTTACCCATTATCTTTTGATAATACTTGACTGATGACAGGTTTTTTGATAACAACATCTTTTATTGCAAGGGTATCACATTTCATTAAAGATTCTTGTACCATTGTCATGCAGGAAGGAGGGTGTATATATGCAGTGTGTAACAAAGGAAATACAGTTACAACGTAACTAATATAATTAACAAGGAAGTAAGCTGTTTGAAGCCAGAGAATTAACAAAGGGATTGAGGGGAAGGCCAGAGATATACATGTACCACCACGTCAATAGAAAGAAGATGTTTACACAGTTCAATGGGCTTCGTTGAGAAGTTCATCAAAAGGCTGAGACAATGAAATATGCTTGATCTCGGTTGATGGTAGGCTTTTGCTGTCTGATGTGAATAGTTTGGGTAACAACTATAGTTTGACTATTTGGGATGGATAGTGATTTCTTCTTGTAGATTTGTTGAGCAGATGTTCTCTCCTATTCATGTTACATTCCTGATTGACTATGGTACAAGACGCTGTATCGAAACATTGCACCTACAAAATAAAAGGGGTTGTTATGAAATAATAGTTGTCATTATTGTAACATGCCACTGAAAGAAGTAATACTTTGACTCCCTGCACAGTCAGTTGGCTTCTTGTAGAGGTACTAAGCTCTGCTTCACATCTGTCTCATGTGCTGTATGTTTCTGACTTGAACACTGTATTGTGGTCCTCTTTAGCCGTACAGGGAAAGATGTCAAGGCAGGGAAGCTGATAGACAAGGACGAGGATGGCTTCGACAATTTTGATGCTTACTGGTCCGAGTCTGGTATGTTGTTTCCTGCACGTATTGTGAGACCCTGTTGATGGAGATGATGAGTGAACTGTTGGGGATAGAGTGATGTCCCTTGGTTACAGAGTTTTTCCGCTCATTTGTTGTAATTAGTACTGAGTGAAATGAGATCAACCAGCTGAAGATTAATATGGTACATTCTTTCACTATTTGTTTCTTGTGACATTTTCAACATTGAAATGATTGATGAATGATATTAACTTCTCATTAATAATATTGGTGTAATGAACATTGATATATTATTGATTACTATATTACTAGTATTATATTTCCATTCTTGCTTGTCTGACTGAATGGTTTAGCAATGGTGTTCCTATTTATTCATCCTGTAAATTGTTGAACAGCTTTTCATAGGAGTAATAGTCAATCCAGTTATATTAAAATAAATGTTGAATACAGGAATGACTCATCTGCCCACAGAGAGTGTGTTTATTTAGAACTTTACTCCATAACTTTCTCAGCGATCAACATTATTTGTGATTCCTTGTTTATTATCAGAATCATATATGGAAAGCTACGCATGGATAAACAGTCCTTACAGTGTTAACTTAATACCAAATCTTATTTCATTAAGGAAAAACTATTCCCTTATCATGGCCATATTGTCAGATGTAGATATCTGTCAGTTAAACATGTAAATATTGATGTATGAAACACAAAAGAAACATATATATTCCAGATGCTGACCTGACAAACAACACCACATTCCACTCCAAGTTGTCCTCTGTGAGTGGACAACCAGAGAAAGAGAACAAGGCTCACACCGCACATGGGCACACATCTACTCTTAAATCAGTGGATACTTGTACGGTCAGTGTTGACACTTACATGATTAGTTGTTACATTTAAGTCAGGGCAATGGGGTAGCCTAGTGGTTAAAGCATTCGCTCTTCACGACAAAGATCCGGGTTCGATACCCCACATTGGTACAATGTGTGAAGCCCATTTCTGGTGTCCCTCACAGTAGTATTGCTGGAATATTGCTAAAAGCGGCATAAAACTAAACTCACACACATTTAAGTCATGTCTGTATGTGTGAATAGAGTATTGTGAGGTTCCCCTGTTGCTTATGTCATCTGGTATAAAATGAATTTGTAGTGACAGAATATGTGCTATATGGATGATAAATTATGTCATTATTTATTAGATTTTTTTAAGCAGCAAGTTTCTTATGAAAAGACTTAAAGGTCACATGCAACATAAAACACAACTTTGCAGATTCTGATACCTTTCGGTATGGACATACCGAAACAAATCGTCAAAAATGCAAATTCAACTTATAAAGTTGAAAAATAACGCGATGAAAAAAAACGCGCGAAATCGGAGTTCAAACGTTTCACTAAATTTCCCCAGACTTTTCTTGGGAAAACGGGTTTCAACAGCTGGGCTGCGCTCATAGCACGTGCGCAAGTAAATAGGTTCGCGCAGCTTGGAAGCGGTTGTCGGGTGAATATTCGGTGAAGGCTTTGGTGTGAGCTATTTTTCTAATGTTTTGTTGATATCTCACAGGCGAGCTTTTATATGTTATGACAGTAAATAAACTGTTTATATAATTTCATTTGTCTATTTCACCACACGTTCTTCTTACCGAGAAACTTTCTCAGTTCGATACTTAAAAGCAATGTCACTATTTAGCGTTGACAGAATTTCTAACTGTGATATAGATATGTCGTTGTCACAGACAAAATTCAATGTCTTGTTTTATTGACACCTGTGTGTCTGCCTGCCTGTCTGCTAATGACAATATTCAATACACAGCTGCTATCACTGACCACAAGCGATTTGAACTTAACACCAATCAGGCTATACACAATAAACAAAACGCATTGATTTATGGCCCGAGTTTGGTCTCTGTCACATTATGTTATTACACAGACAGGCAGGTGTGATACTTGAACACATGACATGTTATGATGTCTGTTGATTGCAAAATGTTATACACAAAAAATGAGCATGTATTTTCAAAACCCAACATCTCTCTCTATATATATACACACAATTAGCCGTGAAGGCATCTGCAACTGAACCAGCCGTTACACTTGAGTGCACACCCACCCGCTCTGACTGGGTTCGGTATCCCGGCTGCTTCGTTTCTTGGGAAGTAAACCGAAGTACACAATATTGCACTTTTGATTTGCGATTGTACGCTTATAATTTTGTTTATATGTTTTTTCATAACCAGCAATGTATATTATATGTCATGAAGAAGTGATAATTGTGTTTTAATTATGTTTGATTTTTTGGTTGCATGTGACCTTTAAAGCAGACAAGAGGTATTGACTTCACTTTGATACACCCCTGCATGTGTAAACAGCAACACATTCCCACATGAGTAAACAGAAACACATCACCACATGTGTAAACAGCAACACCCCACATGTGTAAACAGCCACATCCCCACGTGTGTAAACAGCGACACTCCACATGTGTAAACAGCGACACCCCACATGTGTAAACAGCAACACCCCACATGTGTAAAGGGCCACATCCCCCACATGTGTAAACAGCCACATCCCCCACATGTGTAAACAGCAACACCCCACATGTGTAAACAGCCACATCCCCTACATGTGTAAACAGCCACATCCCCCACATGTGTAAACAGCCACATCCCCACGTGTAAACAGCCACATCCCCACATGTGTAAACAGCCACATCACCACATGTGTAAACAGCCACATCACCACATTTGTAAACAGTGACACATCACGTGTAAACAGCGATACTCCACATGTGTAAACAATCACATCCCCACATGTGTAAACAGCCACATCCCCACATGTGTAAACAGCCACATCCCCACATGTGTAAACAGCCACATCACCACATATGTAAACAGCGATGCTCCACATGCGTAAACAGTGACACATCACATGTGTAAACAGCCACATCCCCCACATGTGTAAACAGCCACATCCCCACATGTGTAAACAGCCACATTCCCAGATGTGTAAACAGCCACATCACCACATCTGTAAACAGCGACACTCCACATTTGTAAACAGTGACACATCACATGTGTAAACAGCAATACTCCACATGTGTAAACAATCACATCCCCACATGTGTAAAAAGCCACATCACCACATCTGTAAACAGCGACACTCCACATGTGTAAACAACCACACCCCACATGTGTAAACAGCCATATCCCCACATGTGTAAACAGCCACATCCCCCACATCTGTAAACAGCCACATCCCCACGTGTAAACAGCCACATCCCCACATGTGTAAACAGCCACATCACCACATGTGTAAACAGCCACATCACCACATTTGTAAACAGTGACACATCACGTGTAAACAGCGATACTCCACATGTGTAAACAATCACATCCCCACATGTGTAAACAGCCACATCCCCACATGTGTAAACAGCCACATCACCACATATGTAAACAGCGATGCTCCACATGCGTAAACAGTGACACATCACATGTGTAAACAGCCACATCCCCCACATGTGTAAACAGCCACATCCCCACATGTGTAAACAGCCACATTCCCAGATGTGTAAACAGCCACATCACCACATCTGTAAACAGCGACACTCCACATTTGTAAACAGTGACACATCACATGTGTAAACAGCAATACTCCACATGTGTAAACAATCACATCCCCACATGTGTAAAAAGCCACATCACCACATCTGTAAACAGCGACACTCCACATGTGTAAACAACCACACCCCACATGTGTAAACAGCCATATCCCCACATGTGTAAACAGCCACATCCCCACATTTGTAAACAGCCACATCCCCACATTTGTAAACAGCGACACTCCACATTTGTAAACAGTGACACATCATATGTGTAAACAGTAATACTCCACATGTGTAAACAATCACATCCCCACATGTGTAAACAGCGACACCCCACACTTGTAAATAGCCACATCCCCACATCTGTAAATAGCCAATTCCTCACATCTTTAAACAGCCACATCCCCACATCTGTAAAAGCCACATCCCCACATGTGTAAACAACAACACCCCACATGTGTAAACAGCCACATCCCCTCGTGTGTAAACAGCAACACCCCACATCTGTAAAAAGCCACATCCCCACATCTGTAAACAGCCACATCCACACATGTGTAAAACAGCGACATCCCCACATGTGTAAACAACAACACCCCACATGTGTAAACAGCGACATCCCCTCGTGTGTAAACAACAACACCCCACATGTGTAAACAGCGACATCCCCTCGTGTGTAAACAACAACACCCCACATGTGTAAACAGCGACATCCCCTCGTGTGTAAACAGCACCCCACATGTGTAAACAGCGACATCCCCTCGTGTGTAAACAACAACACCCCACATGTGTAAACAGCGACATCCCCTCGTGTGTAAACAGCACCCCACATGTGTAAACAACTACATCCCACATGTGTAAACAGCAGCACCCCACATGTGTAAACAACACCCCACATGTGTAAACAACCACATCCCACATGTGTAATCAACAACACCCCACATCTGTAAACAGCCACATCCCACATGTGTAAACGGCGACATCCCCACATGTGTAAACAACACCCCACATGTGTAAACAACACCCCACATGTGTAAACAGCGACATCCCCTCGTGTGTAAACAACACCCCACATGTGTAAACAACTACATCCCACATGTGTAAACAGCAGCACCCCACATGTGTAAACAACAACACCCCACATGTGTAAACAACAACACCCCACATGTGTAAACAGCAGCACCCCACATGTGTAAACAACCACACCCCACATGTGTAAACAACACCCCACATGTGTAAACAACAACACGCCACATGTGTAAACAACCACATCCCACATGTGTAATCAACAACACCCCACATGTGTAAACAACCACATCCCACATGTGTAAACGGCGACATCCCCACATGTGTAAACAACCACATCCCACATGTGTACCAGCAAAGTTGTTGAGAAATGAATCCTGTCACCTTTTGCAGTCACTGAAAGTCGGCGGAACTGGAACTTACTACCTAGGAAACCGCATCATTGGGAGGTAAGGCCTTTGCTACCTGTTTGTGGTAATCTCAGAACAATCACATGCAAACTTATCTCGCAAAGGAAGAGGTTGGGTAAGGACCCTTTTGATCGACTGGACACTTAAGAATGAAAAATATAACTGAAAAATGGTAATTTTTCAATTTTTGAGAGAAAATCTGTGAGTCAGTTCTTGACCCAAGATGAATGATATATGTTTGCATTGTTTTTATGTCATCTTCACAGAAAATCAGAAGGGTATATAATTATTAGTATTTCAAAGACAAAAAGGGTTACATACTTCCTTTCAAACGTTTAGACTCACTTAAAACACTCACTATATGTAATGTGTATATATATATAATATATGGTTACATCGAAGATTGATTTCTCCACTAACTTGGGGGAACCAACTGCAAACCTTATGCAGATGAATTGCATGATCAGATTGCTGAAAAGCATGTGCAAATATCGTGCATGTGAACTAGTGGTGGTCAGATTAATTGAAATAATCAAAGATGGTCGCAGTGACCTAACGACCAAGCAATCGATCACATTTTCTCATAATCAAACACAAACGATTTTGGATTTGCTGTTTTAGTCTTTGAAACCCTTGACGATGGAACATACCTTAGAAGGCCTGAAACATGTCTAATCCTTAGAAACCTCACTCCAGGATGTTTATGTTCATGATGTATTAGTCATTACTTTAAAGTAGCAAGTTGCATCATTTTACATTGGATGTGAAATTTGCAAATGCAAATGCACAGTTTCTTAAAAAATCAGAGTACCACATAACAGCATTGTTTCACAAGAAAATCAAAGTGATGATAAAGTAGAGGAAGATTGTGACGAGAATACGCCAGCCAGCCAGCCAGACATTAACATCAAATCAGGTGAGATCTCACATTGAAGATCTTATTTATCACTTTGAAAATGTCGGCGACCTCACAAACCTGGAGCTGTTGTTAAAAATCCAAGCAGCGAATAACAACTCTGTCCGTCAACAATTATCATTCAAAGACTTTTTCAAGCCGATGTAATTTATGTCATGTTATGTTATGCAAGATGTTATGTTAAATAAAGATGTAGTTATGTTTCAATGTTATTTTTAGTTGTTTTGTTTTTCACATGTAGCCGACCGCCTAGGTCCTGATTCAGATATTCGAATGATTCGTTTGTCCGAACAAAAAGTGTTCGGATAAACAAGGTCTGACTGTATACCTATCTACAATAACAACCTGAATAGAAAAATCTTTAAAATGACGATAACCAATTTTTTTCGATGATTGTTCGTTGGTAATGAACCAATCATCAACCAGAGGCCCAGATAAGCTGCGTATCTTGGTAAAATGTGTATAGAAAATTTCCAATTACGCTTTGAAAAATAATTATTGCGTACCAATTACGCATTTAAAATGTTAGATACGCAAAAAGTTTAAAACAAATGCGTACGGAATATATTTATAAAAATCGCTTGCGTAATGAAAAAGTCATCGATTGCTATCAAGTTGTACTGTTAGTATAGGACTAGTGTTGTACTGTCAGTAAAGGATGAGTGATTTTGTATGAAATCATTTCCATTATATTTAAGTTGGTTTTGATTAGGTATGACATGAGGCAGAACATATCTGCTCAGTAAACTTATTCAATGACATAATACTTAGGTGAGTAAAATGACTGAAATACGCACATATTTGAAAGCAGTGGGTAACGGAAAATGAAATACCCACTCAACATTCATAATACCCACTCCAAAAAAATACAGTGGGTACAGTACCTACATGAGCTAAATCTTATCTGGAGCTTTGATCAACTATGCGATTTCAACCAATTCCCATCACTAATGTGAACAGCTGAGTTTTTGTGTAAAGTTTTGTTAAGAATTCGCCAATTTTCACTGATTTTTATCATGTATTGACCTCATGATAATAATTATTCAACGTTACGAATTTGTTATGCAATACATCAGTTCACGTGTAAACAGTAACAGTATGGAATATTTTGCAAAATATAGTTTAGAGCAGTTGCCTGAAGTAAGTGGCTATATTTACACTAGTGAGTCTAACCTTTTGAAAGGAAGTATAGAAACAGTTTCAATGTAGGAGAATATACTTTAGGAAATGTTTAATCCTATAAATGCCTTGGTGTTGACTTGCAAAAATAATCTCATTCTTTTTCATAGAGATCGTCCTTGGGGTACATATATGCATTTTCTGCGGCTGAAAATGTCATGTGACAGTTGTATCAATGTTTTAATAAAAATATTGTACAATAAATAAAAATCTTTTTTATTTATTTTACGGCCCCCACCACGTGGAGTTACCCCCCTGCTATGCATGCGCAGCCAACCAGGTAAGCACCTAGGCCCGTATCATCATTCCTTCTGCTGTCACTCTAGCGTTCACACGTGTTTCCAAAGAGTTACAAGCTGATTTACTTCTTATCGGAAGAATGTCTGAGACTTCAACTACTGTATGTATGGCCTTTATTCGTTCTTGAGAAACGTTTTCTGGACTTTGCAGTCAGTTACTGTAATCGTACAGGGTGCAATTTTCGCGGAAAGTTCACAAAAGACCTATTAGCGCAGTAGTTTTTTCGCGCATTTCAAACGCCTGAGTGATGGTGTCCATCACAAAGTTGTTATCTGAGAGAATAAACAAATTGCATGTTGTTCCTACTTAAGTATTTGTCATGACTTGACCAAGAATAATTCGCTTGGTATGATTATTCGCGCACAATCATTTTGCGCTAAAAGCGCGAAAATTAATCCCATGCGAAAATAACTCTGATTACAGTATTTCTCTTTTATGTGACTTTGTATTAAACTTTTACGCTAGCTTTCCCGTGGTTTACGCACGTGATGCTATTCCATGGCGGGAAGTTTGGCGTGCCACATGGTTGAAATATTGCGTTATTAACCAAGTATTTCATGTCGCGTTGTCACATTCACGTAATTTTCAATGTTTTGTATGTGTATATTTATGCTGTTGTGTTAAGCCGTTAGCTACATGCTTGCATGTTTGCTTTCAGGCGTTTACGGAGTGTACTGCCTGCGGGCAAAATATCCCTCGCTCAGATAAGCATGTTAAATGCTTATGCTGTCTTGAGAAGGCAGGGCATAACCCTGACATCTGTGAATTGTGTATGGGCTTTTCCCCCCGGGCCCAGAAGAGACGGGCGGCTGACTTCCTTTTTTACAAGGAATGCGTGAGGCGGGAGGGGACTTGACCCAGGAGGTTCCCCTGTCCAAGACCAAAAAGGCTAAATCTAAGTCGACTTCGCATAAGTCACACTCTCAGAGGGGGAGGGTTCGCTCCCAGTCCCCCTCTCAGTTTTGGAGCAGGGTCCGTTGAGGATTCCTGGGATTCCGGTCCCTTCGCCACCCCGCCCCATGGGAGCTGGGGAGCCAGTTCTGTCCGGGCTTCCTCCCGTGTCTCGGGACCGGGGTTCGAGTGTGGTGTTAGTTAACAGAGCTGAGAGTTCTTTCGACTCTTCCCTTCCCGCGGTGTGTGTGGCTCGGCCTACCGCCGGGTCGGGGTTCAGCTCCTCTTCACGTGGAGATCCGAATTCTGACTCGGGCCTTGGTGCCGAGTCTGTGGAGGTTGGGTCATCAACCTCAAGAAATCCGACCTGGTACCCACCCAGGATTTGTTTTTTCTCGGGACGCGGTTCACAACTCAACAGGGTCTTGTCTCTTTGTCGCCCGACCGGGTCACCAGAGTACGGGAGATTGTGTCTTCGTTCCTCTCCCAGCCCCAGGCACCAGCGCGGACTTGGCTTCGTCTACTGAGTCATATGCCGTCAACTACCTCTGTCGTGTGTCGGGCGCGGTTGAGGATGCGCCATATACAGCAAGCTTTCGCGAGTCTGTGGACTCACTCTGAGGATCTGGAGAAGTGTCTCACAGTCCCCAGGTGGTTGTCTCCTCACCTTCAGTGGTGGACCAATGTCTGGAATCTCTCGAAGGGGGTCCCTTTGGAAATCCCGACGCCAGCTCTTACAGTTCAAACCGATGCGCCCCTCGCAGGCTGGAGGGGTGTTCTGGGCAGTCTGTCGGTGTCCGGACTCTAGTCCGAAGCCTAGGCCCGCCTTCACATCGATGTCTTAGAACTGAGAGCTGTACGGATGGTTTTTGAGCGCTTCCGGGAGCATGTTCAGGGCCAGGTGGTTTGTCTTCAGTTGGACAACCGTATGGCCATGACGTACATCCTGAAGCAAGGCGGCACGGTGTCCATAGCGCTCCTAAGGGAGACGTGGGAATTTCCCCTCTGGTGCAACCAGTGCGACTGTCAAGTTATTCCTGTGTATCTCCCGGGGCTGGAGAACGTGAGAGCAGACGCTCTCTCTCGCCGGATCCTGGCCCCGCAGGAGTGGATGCTAGACCGGCAGATATTTGGAGTTATCTCCCAGTTGTATCTGTTGTTCCAGGTGGATCTGTTTGCGTCCGGCGCAGATACCCGTGTTCTGCTCTCGAATACCAGACCAGAGGGTGTTGGCTTCCGATGCCTTCCTGCTGGATTGGACGGGCAAGGTGCTGTTGGCGTTTCCGCCTCTACCACTCATTCCCCGGGTCCTCTCTCAGCTGTCCACCCAGCCAGCTCGGCTGCTTGTGCTACTGGCACCGCTATGGCCGTCACAGAGTTGTTTTCCGGTAATTCTCAGGTTTCTGGCTCAGCCCCCTGTTCTATTACCTTTGCGACCGGACATTCTCACTCAGAACGGCGTGCCATACCCTAATCCAAGGATTCAGTGGGTGGCTTGGCCTCTGTCAGGTCTCGCCTCGAAGCACGTGGAATTCCTGCAGCAGTTGCAGACACAATTCGAGGAGTTTCGAAGAGTTTCTGCAAGCCCGTTTGGAAGAAGTCTTGGCGGCTTTGACCATTCGTGGCTACTCCACCACTATTTCCACTTTCCACAGCCCTGTCTATGGTGCACTTCTGGGGCAGCACCCTCTTATGCAGCGCTTCTTAGCTGGTGTGGATCGGGTTCGACCTGCTGTCAGGCGTACCAGCCCACCTTGGGATATGTCAATCGTGCTAGATTGGCTGTCCGGTCCTACTTTCTCACGTCTATCGGCTTTTTCCATTCAGCTGTTAACATGGAAGGCCGTATTTCTGGTGGCGGTAACATCTGGGCAAATCGTTGGCGACTAACATGCTTTGTGTTCCATCCAGATCATGTCAGTATTCGCCTCCTGGATACTTACCGTCCGAAGATTGATTACGCTTTCCATGTGACTGCTCCTATCGAACTTCTTACTCTTACCCAGCCTTCCACATCTGGAACCACTGCAACGAGCACTCACTCGTTGGATGTCCGTAAGACCCTCAAGGTCTGTATCAACTGAACACAAGAGATCCGTACGGGTACCCATCTGTTCTGCTGTTACGTTGGCGGGAAGGCTGGGATGCCGGCTTGCAAACAGACCCTATCACGCTGGCTTGTATCGGACATTTGTCGTGCTTATCAGGCTAAGGGCAAGCCTCCCCCTGAGGGGTTAAAGGCTCACTCGGTCAGGGTAGTGGCCACTTCAAGGCTTTTGCATCGGCATTGCCCATTGAAGAGATATGCTCTGCCGCTATTTGGAGCAGGCCTAGCACTTTTATAAGGCACTATCAGCTTGATACACATTCCCATGACCGAGCGCGTTTTGGCCGTTCTGTTCTCTCCAATGGACAGTGTCCTGCCACCCTGACCGAGTGAGTCTTGGTTATCTGGACAGATGACGCTGTTTTCAATTGTGTATAATTGATATATCCGCTGTTATCATATCTAACTACTTTCGATTTCTCTCATGAGATTATGGTCGGTTGTGAGTTGATTTTCCCCCTTACGGTGCTCTTTTAAAAATTTCACCATGTGGGCGGGGTTTTTACTTTTGCACAGTGTGCAAACTGTTTTGCTTAACTTGTGAGGTCGGGTCTCAGTACGTTCCTCCTTGTCGGTTACCTTCCCATCATGTCTCTCACGGAAGCTTCGGGACACGTGACAGGTTAGTGTTGTGGCATCTGTTACTTTCTTCCTAACGATCGCTATTTATGTGTACTTTGACAGAATTCCCTCCTCCCTAGCCTCCGGTCTTTGGGAGTCTTGAGTTAATGCATATATGTACCCCAAGGACGATCTCTATGAAAAAGAATTAGCTAACCCTGTAGAGGTTCCAATTCTTTGAAGAGAATCGTCCTTGGGGTAGGGCCACCCACCTCCCCGCAATTCTGTTCACTGATTTATTCAGCAGAAGGAATGATGATACGGGCCTAGGTGCTTACCTGGTTGGCTACGCATGTGTAGCAGCGGGGGGAACTCCATGTGGTGGGGGCCGTATAATAAATAAAAAAGATTTTTATTTATTGTACAATATTTGTATTAAAACATTGATACAACTGTCACATGACATTTTCAGCCGCAGAAAATGCATATATGTACCCCAAGGATGATTCTCTTCAAAGAATTGGAAACCTCTACAGGTTTAGCTAAATTTTACTCATATGAAGCAAATGTTATGAGAACAAGGCACTAACAAATGTGTTCAGGGGTGGAAATAACTTTAAAATTACTAGTGTACTCCGGTACAGTGGCACATGTAAAATCACTTGCCCTGATAATTTTTCCACTATACCGGCCGTTTTCTTGTTGATTTTTTAAGTAAACAACATAAGTAACGTTGGAAAGTCAACTGGACACCGGTACAGTATGATATACAAATTTGCTTGCCCAGCAGAAAAAAACACTTGAATTGGACGTTAGGCAATGGGTTATTTCCACCCCTGGTGTTATATTCTATGCTGATGGTAGAAATTACAGCTTTCAGTTACATGTCCACTGCACCTTTCTTTATGGTAGCAACATTCCTTTTCCATCATATTTGTAACAAATATCATGCACACAAATTATTTCAGGGTATGTGAGCACCATATGACATTTAAGAAGGATGATTTGATTGTTGTAATTTATGACAGTGATAAATCAATACCCAATATTGATTTTCATTGCTCTTGGGTTTTCAGCTTAAAACCATAATGACTTGGTTGACACACGTCATCGTATCCCAGTTGTGTAGATCGATGCTTATGATATTGATCACTGGATTGTCTGGTCCAGACTCAATTATTTACAGACCACCACCATATGACTGGAATATTGCTGTGTGCGACGTAAAACAAAACTAAACTCACTCACTCACTCTGTATATGATGAAACTGTTTTTCACAAACGATTCTGCTATATTCATGATATTGGCATTAGTGTTTTTCATTTCAGTCGTACAGGGAAGAATATAAAAGCTGGGAAAAATATCCGCAGATGTGATGATGGCATCGAAAACTTTGATGACTACTGGTCTGAATCAGGTGAAGTACAAACGCTCACAACAGCCATGTCTACAGATAATCGAGAATCTGTGGCAAAACAGGAACTGAAATATCATCACAAATATATTGTTACCTTGGAAATATTTATCATGGTCAATTAAAACTGTGTTGGTACTGTAAGAACAAAGGGATTTTGTGTGAGATATGTTAAAAATCTAAGCCCAAAATATATAGTGTTCTTTAATACTGTCTGCAGTGCTGAATCATTAACTGGTGTATCACTATTAGCAAATATTTGTTTCAGTTTTTGATTGTATATATGATATGGAGCAGTTCAATTACTTATAAACCATAGCTTATTTTTAAAAGTAATTTTCGTATAATTTTTCTCTGGGGTGACTCCCTGCAGAATCCATTGACTCCAAGAGAGTCTTCTCTGCCAGACTCCGTGGTACAATAAGCGAATCATGAACAAGTCATGAACCATTTTTGAACATATTAGACAATGCTGGTACACTATTAATATTGTTCCTTTAGACCACAACCAAGTGCTATTGTAGGTACAACTAAATACACTAAGCCAACAACCATGCGTAGCAAGGAGTAGGAAATATTCACCTGTCAGTCAGCTTTGGTGTATTTTGTAAGTAATCTGCATTTGTGTACTGGTAGTCCAGATTGAACAACAAAAGAATATGGTTTTATGAAGCAAAGGTTAGACAGCATTAAGCTTAAACCCTCCTCCTAAATCCTAAAATGGACCATATCATATCTTCCTCAATACTGTGACGCCCTGGTTCTGAATGTACGCTACTGAAAACAAACCACTTGTCCCTGCTATGCACTCAGAATGCTTTGGAATGCCAGGTGAGCTTCTCTCAGTTCTAGGTGACCAGGGGCTGCTAATACATAGATTCTTAACTGAGCAGTTCGAACTGTGCTTCCTGGGCATGCAGGTACCTTCATTACTATGTAAACACCCCTGGGGCTGTGGATATGCGGAACAAGAGCATCAAAACCTAACTACAAATTCTGTTTCAAGTGGAACAAAATTGGGATAAATTGACATATGCGCTAGTGAATGTCACATTGCCTGGTGACTCGCTCAGCACCAGGTTACACCAACATTGAGGCAGGTGATGACCAGGTGTCCGCCACACAGGATACCAATCCCAGTGTCCACTGCAACAACTTGCCTTGTGGTGACGTCACACAAGAGCTTGTCAACACGAACTAACCATCACCAGTGGCAAAACATGGCGGTAGTCCTCTGTCCGAGGAATGGGGATCGTTGGGCGGACCAGCTATTACTCCGATGCTAGTTGATTGTAGATAGTCATGTGGTTTCGTTTCTGTTATCCTTTATTGATAACATTATTAATACAGGTAAGACACGAGGATTTTAAGAAGTTAAATGCTACGAGTCACCCAGAGAAGAATTGTACAAAAATTACTTAATGGTATTTACAATCAGTGAAGATAATCTCTAATTCAACACCTGTCAAATGTTACGATTGTCATGTCAAAGTTATTCTGATGATTTGTGCATTGAATGTCATGCTCACAGTATAATTCTAACCTTATGCTGTGGTATCTTTACAATTGTAAAGCAATACTTCCTTGCAAATTTTCTGGCAGCTCATTGCCGAGATCAAAGGTCAAGATAATTTGACTGGGTCTGCTGATAACAGTATTTTGTGATAGCAGATTTTGTTTACAGAATCTGAGAGTATACTGTCCTTCCACAGAAGCATTCGTGCTAACGACACCAGGAGCTTTGTGAGTGTTTATATGTCTCTCTTGCAACTTTCTCTCATTCACGCCTTCTTTGTCTGAACATCTGTTCTTCCTCCACAACAAAGTTAGCAGTTGATACTGATGTCGTCATGTCTGCTTGTGTTTTACTTGAAACTCAGAACCTTTGTCATTTTGAAGTATCACCAGTTGCAGCAGAAGAGATGATGCCACCAACTCGTTAGAATTGACTGAATCCATTGTTGCAGTCTTTAGCTTTATATGTTTTGGAAGAGGAGATATTACCTTTATAAAAACCAACAACAGGACTGGCAATTTCCTAACCATCAAGAAGACTATGAATTGCTTATGTTGTGTAGCAATTGAACATTTTGCTTTGGTTGATAAGTAATGTTAAAGAGTGACCGTTGATACTGTGACTGATGGTAATGTTTCAGCTTGGTGCAGATACGCCACAGGAAAGGGATGAAAATATGTAAGTAAAGTCCACCTGGTGCAGTAGAGACATGTTCAGGATTCAGGAAAACACAGACTACATCCACTTTGTGTGAAAAACACAATGCCATTTTAGAAAGTGGTCAAATGTAACATATGTTATATTTCAGATTACATTCTCTCAGTAAAGTACAGATTCTAGTACCTTTTGCAAAAAAAGTACTAGAATCTGTACTTTACTGAGAAAGTGTAATCCCAAATATAACATATGTTACATCCACTTTGTGGATGGAAATAATCTGACTTGTTTGTGTTATGCTGTTATGTCACCAGTAAATATTTAATAACCTTAAGCATCATGATCCTACAGTTATTAGCTTTGTGCATGCTTACTTTAGAACGGAGATTGGTTTATGTAGTTACATATATCACAAAAGAGGGTTTTATGAGTAAATATGTGATAAAGGACCATAACTTACTGTAAACAGTTATCCTCAGATCAGCTTACCTTCATCCCAAGACTTGCTTGTCTCTAAACCTGTTTGCACTTCAGCCTTATAATGTTTTCTGTTGTGTCCTACCACAGTTATGGAATTACTGGTACCAAAAATGTCGTTCCCAAGAGAATTGTTTTGTGGGTAATGTTCCAGTTCCTCCATGACTGGTGAGGATGGATCTGAAGGTGAGGTGGTGATCAACCCGAGACACCGACCTGCTGTCACCGGGTGGGAGAATGGTGGATGGGGGCAGGGTGAGGACTGTGAGGGAGTTGAGCAGGGGGCTGGGGGTGGACATGCCGTAGAGGATGCCTCGAAGCTGGTGGAGGACAACCTTGATGATAGTGCAGAAAGACAGAGGTGCCCAGACACCAGAAGTGTCCAGGGTAGCTACACTCAGCACCAACAATCCTTTGGCCACAAGCAAGCAAATGTCATACCAGAGGACTCTACAGTCTCGAGTTCGAGTGAGCCTCCTGTAAGTCGGAGTGAACAGTGTGATGTAGAGACTGAAATGGAAGATGTAGAATCTAAGCCAGAGTGTACAGAGGACTGCAACCAAAGCACGGTGGAAGTACCCTTGGAACAGTCTTCCCAGTCAAGTAGGTTCATCATGTATACTAGAATGGTGATTTTACTATTGTGAAATATAATATTTTTCAATGTTGCATTAAGCGACAAAGTACCTGCAAAGATCTGGGTTAGAATTGGTCTTCAGCTACCCATGGTTTGCAAAAGGGGCAACTAAGAGGATCAGTTGTTCTGTTTGCTGACGTAGTTCTTTGTCATCGTATAGCATTTATGTATACTGAACTGCAAAAGAAATGTCACACCGATAGAGGTTTCTTAAAGCACACAGTATAATTTGCTCTAAGTAACAATCAAAACGGATTATTAAGTTCAAACTTGACAAATATGGTTAACACATTTTCAGGAATCACATTTAGATTTCACTCCCAAATCACCAAAAATGGTACCATTAATATAGTCAGTATCGTGTGTGGCCTCCATGGGCATCGATGACGGCATTGCATTGTCTGTACATGGAATGAATTTGCCAGTTGAGGAAGCCATAGGCACTTGGGTCCATACTCTGCAAAATGCCTGATGGAGTCCAGCCACTGTTGTCGGCCTTGGGTGGAGATCCTTCAGTCTTCTTTAAATCTCGTCCCAAAGGTGTTCTATTGGACTTAAATCCAAGTGCAGGCCATTGTATGGTTTGAATGCCATGTTGTCTCAGGAATTCCAATGTTGCTCTGGCAGTGTGAGCATGAGCATTGTCTTGCTGGAAGATATGATTTCTGTGACGTCCAAAATGTGGTACAACATGGGGTCTTATGACTTGGTCTATACAGTGAGCAGCTGTCACGCCATTTCCTCGTCCTAGACTGAGATTTTGGAACACCACGGGGCCAACTCTCTGGTTCAGACCAATTGCACCCCACACCACGATGCTTGGACCACCCCACAAGTCTCTTTCAACAATACACTCATTGAAAAAACGTTTCCCATGCCAGGGCTACAGATAAGGGGTGTACAGCCATAATGTATGCCTCAAAATCAATGAAGTACAACATAATATAAGATTTCAAGCGTATCATGTACAGACATAAATACCTTTGTACATCTAACATTTAATTTCCGTGCATATCCTTCAAATGGAAATCTATTTCGGATAAATACTTGTTGTCAAGAGTTTCTTTTGTGAAACGGGATTTGACACATGAGGAAATCCCGCCAGTGGGAATCCCTTGCGATCCATGCAACAATATGCATCACTATTTTTGATTGGCTAAAAAATACACTGTTCCTATTTATATCCAATATATCGGACCTGACATTTCGCGCATCACACGGTCGCTCAGTTATTTCTCACTCGTCTTCAAATACAAATACATGGTTTGAAATAGTGTTCGATGAATCATCCAGACAAACCACATCACCAACTCGCTCACACAAAAACATGTCAGTACTCCTTCAAAATTCCCAGTACACGTCCACTTGTGATATGATGTGTAAGTACACCCACACCCCCAAAAGTTATCCGGAGCCCTGCATGCCTTCTCCATACTCTCACTCTGGGAGCGGTGAGGTAGCTTAGTGGTTACGGTGTTTGCTCATCATGCCGAAGAGATTTCTTCTGCGCAAACGTCGACGCACTGTATCAGCATTGATGGGTCTGCTGTGAGTCCCAATGGTCTGGCGTGCTGTTTCCGTTGCCCTGGTGAAGCGATCCTGCAGATGGTCTTGACGATCTTGATGGTGTTAGTGGCCTAATGTCACTCCTGCAGTCGGTAGATTGTCCTAACATGAAAGTTAAAATGATTGGCTACCCTCCGTGTAATCTGTCCAACTTGCAATCGTCCCAAGGGTTGGTTCCTCTGATCTCTCGTAAGTCGTGGCATGGCGATTGTATCAAAACAAGAATGATTTCAGGCGAATTTGTTACACATTTTCACTGGTAGGGTAGTCACGATATGCACATTCATTTTCATTTTCACGAATGTCATACAGAACCTTTTACCACATCTGCCATTTTAGGTGCATTTGGTCAATATGCTTTTTCATCAGAAAACACACTGATGTTGGTAAAAACTGTCAATTTGACTTAAAAACTTGTTAACAAAATGGTACAATCATAATAAAAACACCACCTTGTAAAAACAAAATTTAGCATTAGCTTTTGAAAGGTAGCGTTTCTTTTGTGGTTCAGTATATATCAATGCCTGTGGTGTCAATCACTGAATTGTCTTTTTCTGACTTGCTTATTTACAGACCATGGCTTGACTATTTCTGAGTGGCATTAAACAACAAATATAATATATGTGATATATTCACAATGGGACAGCCTCAAAGCCACTAGTGAATGAAATTATTTGCAAATTTCCATAACATAAAGATTTTATCTGGAAAATAAGATCTTGAAAGTTGTACAACATGTTTAATAGTCCAATATTGTTCCATTTGTCTGTTCAGCATGTAGTGAAAGCAGCCAAGATGATGACGTGACAGGAACTGTCCTCAAGAGACCTGACTCCCTGGGTCGCAGCCGACTGAGTCACATCATGCAGCTACAGCCTCACGGGGAAGAGAAACATGTCACCACTAAGGCTGCCAGCATACAGTTGGAGATTGTCCAAAAGGTTACCTGACAAAGAATTGTGGCTATTCTAGTATGAGGACTTTGAAAGCTTTTCTATTTTTCCTTATCCTGACTCATGCTTATTTGCTTTCTCATCCTCTCTTCTGAACGGTCAAGTGGAAACTTGAATCCCTTCAATTCCCTTGAAGTGAACGTACAATCACTCACCCTGAATTACCTCCCTTTTCCCGCCAAAACTAGCACGTGACCTGCCATGCCTTGCTCCTCACTCTCTCCTCTATCGCCCAAGTGGACGGTTGGGCGGTCACTTCAGGGTCCCTTCGCGGCTTATAACTTCAAATATTTTGGATATATAGCACAAATTCTTCCGTGATTGTGTTTCTAAATATGTTGTTTATCATTGTATGTCCAATTAATTCACAATTTCACTTCATTCCAGGTGACTATTTGTTCACATGTTTTCAATGTAGCCTCGACACTCGCCCTACACAGAAACTGCTCTATATCATCTATAATGGAAGGCTGCTTTTGGAAGTCGGACACTGTCTTCGCTAATCACTACCTGAGAGACATCTCCACAGAAGACGTATCAGGGATACACCAGTTCGGCCCTCTAGTCGTAGCGCAACAACTCACTGTACCGGCCAGACATTGAAGAAACTCACCCTTGTCACGCAGATTCGTTGACGCCAGGCAACTGTCCATTGCCACCGGCGCATGAGTGATACATAGACTCAGTTATGGTAATGTTCTTACCTTAACCGATGGGTCGCGATTCCAGTTTCGGTAAAGTTCTTACCGTAACATATTGGGTCGTTGCAGATATCTAGACAACCAGGCGTCTAGTATACTAAATCCACAAAACTTAAGAAGTTTACTTCTAATACGAATGTATAAGAAGGTGGTCCCCCGACAAGCATCAAGAAATACTGAAGTTAGCCACAGAAGAAGAAATTCCCAGGGGGTATATATATCAAGCGAACGCTGACGTGAAGACAATCGTACAGGGAATCCCGTTAGGTGGTTGACCCACCACAGATTCCGTCGGATTCGGTAAACAAATAAGCATGAGTCAGGATAAGGAAAAATATGTAATTTTTATGATAAAATAAATAATTTTTTCTTATCCTGACTCATGGTTATTTGCTTGTCTTCTTCTTCTGGCAAACCTATTTGCTTTCTCATCCTCTCTTCCTAACGGTCAAGTGGAAACTTGAATCCCTTCAATTCCCTTGAAGCGAACGTACAATCACTCACCCTGAATTACCTCCCTTTTCCCGCCAAAACTGGCACGTGACCTGCCATACCTTGCTCCTCACTCTCTCCGATATAAGACCCACACAGGTTTACAGGGAAACCCGTGTGGTGAGAGGGGACGGTTGGGAGGGCTTCATCTCATGAGTCAGGATAAGTATAAAAATGAAATTTTTAGAGTAAAATTAATATTTTTATACTTATCCTGACTCATGCTTATTTGCTTGTCTTCTTCTTCTGGCGAACCTAGTGGAACATGTATATCTCCCAATTGAAGTTCCCTTCAATAAAAGAAATCACTCATTAGTACTCACCACGAGTTACCTCCCTTTCCCCAAGCGCGGGAACGAGGGCGCCACCCAAGCCCATGTGCTTCACTCTCTCCTTCTTCGCCCAGTGAGCTGGACGTGAGAGCACCTGTGTCTCCCAACACACTATATCCTTAATTATATTTAGTTAAGTTCCTCTTATACGTTAGTATAGAGGTAGTACTAGTATAATTATTCAATTTGCATTGATTGTTAATTGTGTTTCTGCTGTTTTAATCACGATTCGCCGTGTTTGTTCAGTAAGCTACATTAATGAAAATTTGCACAGAATGTAAACTACGTTATTCTGATACCGATCCACATTTAAAATGCCCTAGTTGCATTACTCCATGTTCCTTTGATTCTCGTTGTAAATTTTGTATCAATTTACCTATCTCTGCCTTTGACAAATATTTATGTTCCGTTTACAGACGGAAGGCAGATAAATCACGTAAACAGAATTCAAACATCGCTAATAGATCGCATATTAATGTTTCATGTCAACTGTTGACTGAGGACACGCCACCTGCTGGTGGCATGCCTGAGTTTCCCTCGGCGGATAAGCGTGGGACGCAGTCTGCTATGTCCAAGAAGCGACCTGCATCTCAAGAGCTGCCGTCTTCTCAGTCCAAGTCGAGGAAACCATCCATATCATCTCGTACTTTGCGTACACCAAGCTCTACACCTTCATCTAAAGGGAAGTCAACAAAATCTAATAATTTTGCCTCTGATATCTTACCAGTTACAGAATTAGCATTATATGATGATGATATGCCTATTATTATTCCAGAAGTTCGTCACAAGAAACGGCCCGTTTCTGTGACTGTCACCTCAGCGCAGATGAACACACAACAGGAGATGCCAACTCTATCACCAGAAATTTTATCTGAGGGTCCCCGTCACCTCTGCAGAGAGACATCCCTCTTCAACGCAGACCGCTTCAGACGACTTGATCAACCAGATAATGAGGGTGATGGAAGACCGCTACGGCTTACAGAGGCCTCAGAGCCACGGGCCTCAGAGCCCACCCCATATCAAGTCATACAGGGCCTCAGAGCCCGCCTTGGCTTCGCGTAGGGCCTCTGAGCCCATAGACGCGCCTCTGCGAAGGGCAACCCTGCCGGTGAGCTCTTTGCATAAGGTATCCCCAGGCAGCCTCCTCGCTAAGGAGGCTAGAGCCGCACCTATTGCAAGAGGCTTCGGCGAGAAGGCCGCTTAGCCGCACGCACCTTGTCATGCACGAAGAGAAGTCCATGCGAAGCAAGCTCATATGTCGGATCAGACACTGAATCCATACATTAGCGTGGGGCCGAAGGCTAAGTGGTTCTACATCGCCTAGAAGGCGTTGGCGTAGCCCTCAACGTTCGAGAAGTCCACAACGTCTGCGAAGCCATCACTGTTCACGTAGATCACAGTCTCCGCGAAGGATGTCTTCTCCAAGGTCTACATACACTAGCCACTCTTCAGTCCGTTCTCCTCAGTCCTCACATAGATCTTCTTACAGATCTAGGACTCCGACATACAACCATCCATCAGAGGAGGATGATGGTATTGTTTTCTCAGAAGCTGAGATAAGATATTGGATGGTAAACGAATTACAACTGGCCTCTCCCTCTAAGAACGAGGATACAACCCAAACTTACCTCATGAAAGATGATGATGTAGATCATATCACCGTGCCTCCTATGGATCCTATCGCAGCCGTTCCTGCTAATCTGGATACTACTTACGCCAAATCTACTAAAAACCTACCTACCCATTTACCATTCTTCAATGCCAAGAATTTTTATGGACATAATATGGAGCCCTTTTTCAAGACTCAGGAGATTGATGAGAACTTTCAACTAATCAGTGATTCCAAGTCCAGAACTTATAGCATTGATGATCGCAAGATGGCCCAGTTAGATACCATTTCCAGGAGGATGTTTTTCGGACTTAATAGGTCTAGGACTATTAACGAAACTCTCATCACCAAGTTCAAGAACTCTACGGATGAGGAGAGTAGGATGATTTACTCAGCACTACTTATGCAGAAAAAAGATCAACAATTCCTTACAGACCATCTTTCAGCTCTTACTGAAATCACTACTATGACACGTCGGCAAGGCTTACTAGCCTCCTGCTCTTGGAATAAACAATTCACAGAGCCTCTGTACACAGCTCCATGGTCTTCACCGTTACTGTTTGGTGGCAACATTAACAAGGTTTCCAAGGAAGTATCTAAAGATTCTAGAGAAGTTCTCATGATTAAATCTATGGATACGTTAGCCAACGCCTTTAAACAATCAGCACAGAGGTACTCGGGTAAGTCTAAGTTTTCAGGGCTACAGAGGGCCCGGGATAAGAAATTAGCGGCTGTTAATAATCCCAAGAATTCTTTTCACGCTAAGCCCATACAACAAGTTCAGAGGAGGATCAGCTAGAGGCAGATCATCCAGAGGTGCCCGTGGATTTAAACGATGAAAGTCAGGTTCGGAAAGACTGGAGTCTTCCACCCCCAATCGTCCCAGTACAACCTTCTCAAGTGGGTGGACGTCTGCAACTACACTGGGAAAACTGGGGAATACTTCAAGATCCGTATGTATCCAACATCCTTCAGTACGGATATCGTCTACAACTCAAGGCCAAGCCACCGTTAACAGTCGACCCACCAGGGTTCAACGTTCAGCTGGCACTACTACCGATGTTAAGAGAAACAGTTCAGTCTCTACTAAACAAACAGGCCTTAGAAGTTCTCGAGCAGCAAAACATCACACCAGGCTTCTACTCCCCAGTTTTCCTAGTGCCGAAAAAGAATTCCAAAGAGAAGTATCGCCTCATTTACAACATGAGCACCTTCAACAGAGAATTTCTATGCAAACCACCAGCGCTTCGCATGATGATACATTTACCTCAACTCCGTCAGCTAATTCGTCCACTAGATTACATGGTAAGTATAGATCTGCAGGATGCATACCTACACATTCCGATTCATCCCAGGTCAAGGAAATATCTGAGGTTTATGCTAGACGGCATACACTACCAATGGAAAGTACTTCCCTTCGGAATCACTTCGGCCCCTTGGGTATTCACAAGAGTAACCAAGCCTATTGTCTCATACCTACATCGTCAAGGCCTGCGGAGTGCATTTTACCTAGACGACGGTATACAGGTGGATCCAGATCCACAGCGTCTCAGACTACAGCTGGAATTTACAATCAAGCTACTAACACAGTTAGGCTGGTTAGTAAATCTACTCAAGTCGGACCTAGAGCCCACGCAAGATCTGCAGTTTCTAGGTATACGATTCCTTACAGCCCAGAATCGTTTGGTAGTCCCGGAGGACAGATGGATCAAAATACAACAACTGATTCCCCAAGCCCTACTCTCTCCGTTACCACTACGACAGTGGCAGAGTCTACTGGGACTACTCACATCAGCTCAAGACTTGACACTCAGAGGCAGGCTTCAATTGCGTCCATTACAAGTCCTCATCATTGCTCATCTCGAGGACCCTCTACCATTCAGTCTACCAGATTATGTCAAACCACATCTACTCTGGTGGACCAAGAGATTGAATGTCTGCGTAGGCGTCTCCTTAGTAGAGCCGGAATCGGATATACACCTCTACGTGGACGCGTCACTAATAGGCTGGGGAGCCCACCTTACCGGCAGGACAGCGTCAGGCCTATGGAGCATTCAAGAGAGCTTATGTCACATAAATCTGCTAGAGATGCAAGCAGTCATAAACGCCATAAGTCACTGGAGCAACCTGTTACAGAACGCCCAGTTAATGATTCACACAGACAATTCAACAGTGGCGTTTTATGTGAACAAACAAGGGTCAACAAGATCACTGAATCTACTCACCCGATGTTTCAGACTGTTCGGAATTAGTCGACAGTCTAAACATTCATATCAAAGCCTGCCACATTCCAGGAGCATAAAATGTGTTAGCAGACGCTCTCTCTCGGCCGCACCAGCCGTCGCCGACAGAATGGATGCTCCACACAGAGATATTCAATCAGATAATCATGGAAATAGGATCTCCTCTCATAGACCTATTTGCCACCCGATTCAACAATCAACTGACAACTTTCGTATCGCCAGTGCCAGATCCACTAGCTTGGGCAACGGACGCACTAAGCATATCGTGGGAGGGACTAAACGCGTACGCTTTCCCGCCTCCTGCGTTGATCCCACAAGTCTTGCTAAAAATCAGTCAAACGAAGAGCCTCGATCTGATTTTGGTCTCGCCTTACTGGCCAGCGAGAACGTGGTTTCCAGACCTCATACTAGGAATCGGAAAACCACTACTTCAGCTCCCACTGCGCTCCAATCTACTGATACATCCGCACACCAAACAAGTGCACAAAACACCAGAAGCATACCAACTTCACGTGTGGACTGTATCAAAGCATGTTTGAATAAGAGAGGTTATTCCACCAGAGCGGCGAAGGCGGTCACGCTTGCACTACGTAACTCTACTCGTAACTTGTACGATGACAAGTGGCGCAGTTTTGTCAATTATGCTGCTAAGAAAGGATTTTCAGCCAGATTTGCTACACATCCTCAAGTGGCAGAATTCTTGTGTTTCCTACGCCAAACTAAGAATCTGAAAGGATCTACACTATCCACTTATCTTGCAGCCATAAGTTCAGTCATTACTATGAGGACGGGCGTCAAGTTGACTAAAACACCAGAGTTACTCGCCTTATTACGTGCCTTTCGAGCAGCTGGACTGGACCCTCCAAGTGCTGCTAATCCCCACGAAATTAGAGCACTAGCTTCTACTTTAGCTTTACATGGAAATTGTTCATTAAATACCATTATGGAGGGATGTTTTTTGGAGATCCGATATGGTGTTTGCCAACCATTATCTGAGAGATATCACCACCAAGGACGTCTCAGGTATCCACCATTTCGGTCCCATGGTCCTCGCTCAACAGTTGACAGTTCCACGGAGAAGATAAGTCTATCTTGATGATTTTATACTTATCTGATAACAGTACTAATAGCTACGTGCTATCTATATATATTTGCTTAAGTTAAAATTTTATCTTAAGCTCAGTACTATGATTTTATATCATTATACACATATACCTACAACTCTTACGAGTTCTACTATTATATATATGTTCAGCTTAAGTTCTATCTTTAAGCTCAGTCATATGTTCATTTCATAACATGTATTAGTTAACAAACTCTCAGTAGTTGGTTACTATTATACAGCTTAAGTTATCTTTATACCTTAAGCACAATTATGTTATAGCTTATATATATACATATTGTAAGCTTATTACTTTGGTTCTTATAAAAGTATACTTATAAACTATCTACAGTTTATACTTCACATTAATAGCTTTAGCTTTAATTAATGTTCTATATACTTTTATTATATTCAGTAAATTGTAATAACCTTCTTAAGAGGCAGCTGTTAATATACAGCAGGAATTCAGTTCAGTGCCTTCATGAAGTTCCCATAGGGTTATTACAATTATCTCAGTTCGAAACACTAATTAGTAAAATCCAAAGTATATATAATCCCACCACCTATCCGTAGGTTCTACAAAACAAAATAAGCATGAGTCAGGATAAGAAAAAAATATGAAATTTTTAGAGTAAAATTAATATTTTTATATTTATCCTGACTCATGAGGTAAGCCCTCCCGTCCTCCCCACTTAGCACTTTGGATTTCTCGAGAAAAATAAAGTGTTGGGCTCAAAACAAAAGAGGAGAGAGTGGAGCACATGGGCTTGGGTGGCGCCCTCGTTCCCGCGCTTGGGGAAAGGGAGGTAACTCGTGGTGAGTACTAATGAGTGATTTCTTTTATTGAAGGGAACTTCAATTGGGAGATATACGTGTTCCACTAGGTTCGCCAGAAGAAGAAGACAAGCAAATAAGCATGAGTCAGGATAAGTATAAAAATATTAATTTTACTCTAAAAATTTCATTTTTATACTTATCCTGACTCATGAGATGAAGCCCTCCCAACCGTCCCCTCTCACCACACGGGTTTCCCTGTAAACCTGTGTGGGTCTTATATCGGAGAGAGTGAGGAGCAAGGTATGGCAGGTCACGTGCAAGTTTTGGCGGGAAAAGGGAGGTAATTCAGGGTGAGTGATTGTACGTTCGCTTCAAGGGAATTGAAGGGATTCAAGTTTCCACTTGACCGTTAGGAAGAGAGGATGAGAAAGCAAATAAGCATGAGTCAGGATAAGTATAAAATATTAATTTTATAATAAAAATTACATTTTTTACCTTTGCCTGCAGTGCTAACATTTTACTGTGTATTCTTCATTCATTTCAGTCAGCCATGAGTGACCAAGAGGCAGAATGTTCTTCACAACTGACAGAGACCGAGAATAGCCCAGTACAACAAAGTGGAGAAATGTCTTCCCCAGGTATATATTCTAACAAGAAGGGAAGGTCAAAACTCAAGACACCATTGAACAGGTCAAGGCATGGAAAGAAATCTCTTGGGGACAAAAGTAATGCAAGTATAAGTGAAGATGTGACTGGGAAAGTGTCTACAAGGCGAACACGCAGCCAGAGTAAGCAGAGTCTTGGAGGAGCAGAGATCCAGCCAATTGACACTTCATCAAGTAAGGGCAGAAAGCAGAAGAAGAGTCTGTCAAATTCTGGAAATGTGACTGATGACACAGAGATCCAACCTCTGGAGCCTTCTTCCAGTAAGGGCAGAAAGCAGAAGAAGAGTCTGTCAAATTCTGGAAATGTGACTGATGACACAGAGATCCAACCTGATGACACAGAGATCCAACCTCTGGAGCCTTCTTCCAGTAAGGGCAGAAAGCAGAAGAAGAGTCTGTCAAATTCTGGAAATGTGACTGATGACACAGAGATCCAACCTCTGGAGCCTTCTTCCAGTAAGGGCAGAAAGCAGAAGAAGAGTCTGTCAAATTCTGGAAATGTGACTGATGACACAGAGATCCAACCTCTGGAGCCTTCTTCCAGTAAGGGCAGAAAGCAGAAGAAGAGTCTGTCAAATTCTGGAAATGTGACTGTTCAACAGACACATTCTGAAACCGCAGTAAAAGTACTCTCCTCTGGAAGGAATAATAGATGTAAAAACATAACATTAGACAAATCCTCTTGTGCTGACATTAATGCTAATGTGGATGAAAGCCTGACAGGTATGAGTAACAAAAACGAAAACAAAAAGTCGAAGAAAATACTAAACAATGCAAGATGTAGTGACCATGAAAAGATTTTGACACAGAGAAATGCATCTATTGTTCTGGAGGCAGATGTAGATGCCACAAATGTAGATCAACAGGAAGCAGAGACAGGTCTGGATGCCACAGATAGTACCCATGTGGAACGGGAGGCACATTTTTGTCACACAGACAGTGACCAAGACGAACCGGAGGCTCGTTCAGATCACACAGACACTGACCAAGAAGAACTGGAGACTGGTTCAGGTCACTCAAACGATGACCAAGAAGAACCGGAGGCAGGTTCAGATCTCACAGACACTGACCAAGAAGAACTGGAGACTGGTTCAGATCACTCAAACGATGACCAAGAAGAACCGGAGGCAGGTTCAGATCTCACAGACACTGACCAAGAAGAACTGGAGGCTAGTTCAGATCACTCAAACGATGATCAAGCAGAACTGGATGAAGGTTCAGCTCACACAATCAATAATGTAACTGATGACAAAATATTGGGAAAAGTAGAGCAGTCAAGTAAAGAAAGCGTTAATGGAGCAGATCATGAATTGAATAATTCCCCTGTAGGCAAAGTATCATCAAATACAGGCAGGAATAAATCTGCAAGAAGTAGCATGCAAGATACATCTCAACTGCTTGGTGCCTTTGATATGGATGAAAAACAGGATGAAAGCAATACCACCACACATAGTGCCAAGCGAGATGATGATGTGAGTGGTAATACTGTGACTGCACCTTATCTTTGTAAAGCTGATGCTCCCCCATCTGAACATTTCAACACTCCAGGAGATCTGCAGTGTGTGAACGAGCAGGCTGGGCATTCGCATGGAGGGGACATAACTCTAGCAGACTTCAATGACCAAGGTCCAAGTCAGAAGTCGGTCAGTGTTGCTGGACTTGACATTGGTGGTGATGTGACTGGATCTATTTCTAAGAATACAAATGCGACTGTCAGCATTATCCCATCCCACACACCGATGCTTAGCTTCAGAACAAAGAAAAGGTGAGAAATGATAGTAATCCTTCAATTATTTGGTTGAAAGGGTAAAATTGTTATATTTCCTTATCCTGACTCATGCTTAATTGCTTGTCTTCTTCTTCTTGCAAACTATAGTGGAACACTTGAAACCCCTTTTGAAGCTCCCTTCAAAAAAGTGGACGTAAAATCACTCACCCCAGTTGTCTCCCTTTTGCCGATCTTTTGCCGTGAAAGTGGTCACATGATCGGCCATGCTTGTCACTCTCTCCTTCTTTGTCCTAGTGGATGGTTGTGAGAGCGCCTGGGTCCCCTTGACGGCATATATCCTTTGAATTTTAGTTTTTGATACTAAATTAGGCTGTATAAGGGCTTTATCAAGGATTTAGCAACAATATGGTTTGAAATTTATTCTAAATTTGTCCGTTTTTCACGTTGTTGTGGACAACATCTCTCAACTTGTTTACATTTCATGAAGACTTGCATTTCTTGCAGGTTTCGATTGTCGGCTGCTGATCCGCATTTACTATGTCCTAACTGGACTTCTATATGTTCTTCCAGCCTCCGCTGTAAACTTTGCCAGCATTTATCTCAAACTGAATTTTGTAATTATTTATATTCTATTCATAGACGTGCCAAGGACAAATTGAGACGGCAGTTACAAAGTCATGTCTCAACAGGGTGAATGCGTTAATAACCGTGGGTTGTTGTCTGTCGAGGTACATCATTCCAGTGTGCTGCCGGTGACGTCTGCAGAGCAGAGAAATGAGGGCTCCGGTCTTAGGAAAAGATCGTCTTCGACTCAACAATCCTCGTCACAGTCCAAGAAGACCAGTACGCCGTCTTCAGACAAGTCTACAGTCAAATCGTCAGTGGGGGCAGCGAAGAAGTCGAGGTCCTTCGCCGCAGATATCAACCCATCAGACGAAGCAGACGTTTACGATGAGCGGCCGATCCTCATCCCTGAAGTACCGGCGAGAAAGAAGACGAGGTCTTCTTCTACACTGACGTCTGCACCTATATCAACTCAGTCAGACGGCCTATCTACGCAGACTGCAGATACCAGAGAGGACAGGCAGTCCTTAGATGACACCTCAGCACTGTCAGATGCGGCGTCATCTGTACAACAACACCAGTTATCAGCGCAGACCTTCAATCCAGGCATCTTTATGCAGCAGTTTACCCAGCAGATGATGGACCTGATTGAACGTAGGTTCGTTCAGAAGACTGCAGAGAAGCAGACGAGTCTGCAAGGAGGACGAACATCGTCTACACCTCATCGGGATGAAGGACGCAACCTGCGTGAAGAAAACGTTCGTGAAGGGAACGCCCAGGAAGACAGCAACTCTTGTGACGAATCTCGTGAAGGCATTCACAGAAGAACCACTGCTGAAGATACTCATGGAAACAACAACCGAGACAGCACCTGCGAAGGCATTCACGAAGGAAGCAACAATTATGAAGAAACTCCTGCTATAGACGAGGAGCATTCGCGAAAGCATCGCAGATCATCTTCATCCTCGGACTCAGACAATCACCAGAGGTCCACGCGTACACCACGCAGAAGAGATTATACGCCTTCACGAAGGCATACAGCTTATAGAGACAGGCACCGTCGCACAGATCCTCGGCAAGATCTTCATGGTCGTCACCACGCAGATACAGATCACCTAGTACATCTCCAATAAGGCACTCGCGAGTGCCTTCGCGCAGGCTTACACATAGATCTCCACCTAGAGATCAGGACCAACGGCAACGATCTTCAGAACGAGACACATCGAAACCGGAAGATGATGGAGGAGTTATCTTCTCAGATACAGAGATCAAATCCTGGATGGCTAATGGTCTGGAGCTTGCATCTCCATCTAAGGAGAATAATGAAGCCTACACGTACATGATGTCTAACGACGATTGTGACACGCTAAAACTGCCACCCATAGATCCGGTACTGGACGTCCCAGACAACCTCAGTTCAGCCTTCAAGAAGGCAACGAATTTTCAGAGTCAAAGCATTCCACTGTGTAATGCTAAGAGATTTTCACTACACAATATGAAACCATTCATGAAGGCCCCAGAAGTAGATGAAAACTATAAACTCATCAATGACGCTCGGATCAGGACTTATAAAGTGGAGGACAAGAAGCTAGCGCAACTAGACACAGCCACTAGACGTACCTTCTTTGGTTTAGCCAGATCAAGAGCCATCAACGAAACCCTAATTGCGAAGTTTGCAAACTCAACATCCGAAGAAGATCGGATGATCTACTCAGCCTTACTGACCCAAAGGAAAGACCAACAGTTCATGTCAGAACATTTAGCGTCTACACTAACACTGCTACGAAGACAAGGTCTACTATCATCTTGTAAATGGAGTGAGAAGTTCACCAAACCGCTATTCAGAGCTCCATGGGCAGCAACGAATATCTTCGCAGAGGAAATTGAGGACGTCGCTAAAGAAGTTACGAAGGAGTCCAGAGAAGTCATGATGATCAAGTCCATCGATACACTGGCCAGCGTTATCAGACAGACATCACAGCGCTACTCTGGCAAATCTAAATTTGCAGGAATTCAGAGAGCTAGAGACAAGAAATATGGCAACTCTACAATAACTTTTGTGTATTCAACACAATCGGTTATTTTAAGGCGCTTCATTGAGACTGATGACTACAGTCTACAAGTATCAACGTTAAGCAAGTATGGAACTTCAGCTAAAATGATGACTGCATTATCTTCAGTGAAGAAGAGAAAAGTCACAACAGCCAGGGAAACAGTCTACCTACATCGATATTACGCGGCGACATCTTTCGCGCATTTTCCACTCAGCCTACTATACACGTGTTCACTCGTGTATTCCGGGAAGTTACGGACAAGGCCGAGTGTTGATGACAGAAATCAACGGCTGCACAAGATTTTACAAGGATCTTTTTCCTACAACACCGGTGACATCACATCGCGGGAATCTGAGATGAATCAAATGCTGCAATCTGATTGGTCCATGAGAGACAACGCCCTGTGCAGAAGTCAGGCACAGCTCACGTGTCAGGAAGTTATCTACAATCGTAAACAACTTTTCAACGTGGGAGGAAGGCTCCATTTACAGTCCAGTTAGCAGGGTTCAGCGTGATTTGACCGTCTTCACGGGTCATAAGGACCTTCCCTGTCAGCAGTTTGAAGATTGGTAATCTGACGAATTGCAGCAACATACTTTTGACGATTTCTGCTCGAGGCAGCCAGTCTACTATAATTAGACTTCACAGCTTTGGCAATTCCAGTACATCTAGAGACGACGAATTATGCATCATCACTGCACTTGTGGCGATTCTGATGACAAGTCCTTTTAACATATTATCGGAAGATTGAAGAAATAAACTTCAAGTCATGTTGCCAGAACCAGACATGTTGCTTCGCTGCCATTACAGACATGGCAAGGGTACCTACAACGTAGGATATGAGCAGACATTTGGGAAGATGTTCATATCACCGCAGAATCGCATTGTCGTCTCAAAGAATAGTTGGGTCTAGATACAAGCCATGGCATCTTAAGCACTACTCTCTCCGTTACCACTACGAAGTTGGCAGAGCCTACTCAGTTTTCTCACGTCAGCACAAGACATGACTCGACCGTCTGGTCTCCTTAGGACTACCGGACGGATTGAAACCATATCTTCTATGGTGGAGTAGGAAGTCGAATATTTGTGGAGGATCCTACTTATCAGAGCTGGAGTGCAACACTCATCTCTACGTAGATGCATCACTTCAAGGCTGGGAAGTTCACCTCGACAACGAAGTGGCAGCAGGGAAATGGTCGAATCAGGAGCAGAGTCTGCACATCAACATGCTCAAGATGGAAGCAGTAATAAACGCCTTACTACACTGGTCCAGCATACAAAGGAACGCACAACTGATGATCCATACGGACAACTCCACGGTGGTGTTCTACATCAACAAACAAGGGTGAATAAGATCAAAGAATATGTTAGACCTCTTCTACATCAACAAACAAGGGTCAACAAGATCAAAGAATATGTTAGACCTCAGCTTTCATCTATTCAGCATAGTAGACAACCTGAACATCGACATAAAAGCATCACACATTCCTGAAGCCAGAAATGTGATAGCAGACCCCCTATACCGTCCAATGAATCCATTACCGACGGAGTGAATGTTATATCCAGAGGCGTTCAGAGACATCATTCAGACAGTAGGATCCCCGCTGGTAGACTTGTTTGCAACCAAGTTCAACAAACAACTACCAACATTCATCTCTCCGTTTCCAGATCCACAAGCATGGGCAAAAGATGCTCTAAGCATCTCTTGGGAAGGACTAAACGCTTACGCGTTCCCTCCTCCAGCGTTAATACCAAAGGTATTACGGGGAATCAAGGTGACAAACAAGTTACAACTGATTTTGGTCAAGCCCTATTGGGCAGCGAGACTGCGGTTTCCCAACCTTATACAAGATCTAGGAAAGCCAATTCTACAAGTAGCTAAATCTACTGATTCATCCACACACCAAGCAAGCACACTGAAATCCAACAATGTTTCAGCTACACGCATGGAGCGTATCACGACTTGCTTGAAGAAAAGAGGATATTCCACCAGAGCGGCCATAGCAGTAACCATAGCCTTAAGAAGATCAACCCGTAACTTGTATGATGACAAGTGGCAAAGTTTTGAGAAATATGCACGGAATAAAGGAATATGCGATGGAAGCAACACATCCTCAAGTGGCGGAATATCTTTGTCATCTTAGACAGACAAAACGATTAAAGGGATCTACACTCTCTACATACCTAGCGGCCTTGAGCACAGTTATCACGATGGAATCGGGTATAAAACTGATCAAAGTACCAGAGATACTGGCACTACTACTCTCATTCAAGTTGGAAGAGCAACAAAGGAAATTCAAGGCGCCCGTTTGGGATCTCAATGTGGTTTTACAGCATCTTACCAGTGAAGATTATGAACCACTAGAAAGGACATCATATGAGAAATTAACTCATAAAACCCTGTTCCTCGTAGCCCTAGCAACAGCGACAAGGATGTCAGAAATTCATGCTCTAGACTTCAGAAGAACAATATTTGACACGCATTGTGACACAGTGCATCTGGGACTAAGATGGGATTTTATAGCAAACAATCAACTGCCCGGTCAACCAGACAGACAATTCCATATCCCAGCACTTTCATCGATATTAGGACCACAGGATACGCAAGATCGATCCTTATGTCCAGTCAGAGCATTGAAAATATATCTACAGAGGTCTAAATTGAGGAGACGAAAAATTCAAGCGCCTTTTCATCCCTCTATCTACGGAGACACCTACAGAAGTCTCACGTACAACTATATCAATATGGATGAGAGCTGTCATATTGAAAGGCTATAAAGCAGCAGGACTTGATCCTCCAAGAGCCTCCCAATCCTCATGAAGTCAGAGCACTGGCATCCACACTAGCTCTGCATGGAAACTGCTCCATCTCAACAATAATGGAGGGCTGCTTTTGGAGATAGGAGACGGTGTTTGCCAACCACTACCTCAGAGACATGGCTACAGAGGACGTCTCCGGCATCCACCAGTTTTGGTCCCTTGTAGCACAACAATTGACGGTACCTCAAAGACGCTGAGATCAATCTCACCCCTTTGTCACGTGACTTGTAAAAGCCAACACTCAACAGAGTTACGGTTTTAAAGTCCATGCGCACATCTAGGACAGGCTAGCATGAGTGATGGACCCTGTACTTGTAAGGACTTGCTTGTACACGAAGTAGGGTCACTTCTCCACTTGATGCAAGCATCAAGAGATGGAGCTGCATAAATCCACACAGAATGTCAGGAGAAGATATTCCAGCATAAGTCTGACAAGTTGTGGTCCCCCCCACTCATCAGAGGAAGCTGGAAGAAAGGACAAATGCCACTAGAAGTTCCCAAAGGGGTATAAGGACGTAAATCAGCAGAGAATCCAGAGTGGCTTGACCCACCACCGTTTCCGTCGGATTCCACAAGCAATTAAGCATGAGTCAGGATAAGGAAAAAAATTCTGATTAAAATTGATATTTAATACTTATCCTGACTCATGAGGTTAGCCCTCCCAACCTCCCCTCATGGCACTCTGGATTTCCCTGCAAATCCAAGTGTCGGGCTCGAACATACAGAGAGAGTGACAAGCATGGCTGATCATGTGACCAACTTTCGCACCAAAAGATGGGGGAAACGGAGACTACTGGGGTGAGTGATTTTCCGTCCACTTCTTTTAAGGGAGCTTCAAAAGGGGATTCAAGTGTTCCACTATAGTTTGCAAGAAGAAGACGACAAGCAATTAAGCATGAGTCAGGATAAGTATAAAATATCAATTTTAATCAAAAAATTACATGATTGTATTATGTTTACCACATGTTGGTCTTTTTGGTTTTGGAGTAGCTGATTACCCACTTGGGTTCTCCAATCTTGGTCACTGCTTGGGCATTTAGGCTGTTTTCAGGCTGGAGTGTTTATGTTGCTCCAAAGCAACTACATCCTAAAACTCACCTACAACCAACATCGCGTCCGGAATGCAACTTTCTCAACATTCGTGTGGTTTACGCAACTGGATGATCATCAAATCTTGAAGTGAAGTTGTCAGTTTCCAATACGTAATCACAAGAACAAAAGCTCCACTCAAAATATTGCACTTCCAAGGGCGGATACCACACTTCAATCGTCATTTAATAAACTTTCAGGACAAAAGAGGGGTGAGCACCCCTACGCACGCACGCACGCACGCACACGCACACACACACACACACACACGCCTCTGGATCCACCTATGGCTTCGTGTCACTTTTAACTGGAAGGCGTACACACTATAGAAATGTCAACATACTAAGCGGACTCTCTGGTATGACGTCACCCCCACAGACGGACGACCACTAAAAATTTAAAATATGCATATGAGTGGGTGGGGCTAAAGGGTGTCCTCCCATTACGCAGACAGCCAGTTCGCAGACACCTTAAAACAACAACATTTACGGTTCAGTGAACAGATTATCTACTACCTGTTACCTACACATTATAATGGAATAGTCCAAGTAAAAACACAGGTACAAACTGAAACTACCGGGGTATATTATTTATTTTGAAAGATGGACGAAAAGAATTTGAATTTTTATTGCTGCTATATATAAAAAGTGTATTGTCATAAACATTTCGGTCACTAACCTTCTAGTCTAAGGGGAGTCGGCATTAGCTTAGCTATTACAAATTGCGACACTGTTGTATCATGTAAATCAAATAAAGACAAATGTGAGCCTAAATATCGAATAAAGAAGTTATATGTTTTGCACACAATATTAAGATATATGACGAGTGCACGATTTATTTAGAATAAACATTTAAAATATGACGCATCATGTGACTGTGGCCATTCCTTGAATGTCCAATAACTGTTACAATCTTTAGAAAGTATTGTTAAAATTAGAACACTGATTCGTATTAATCGTATCTTACATGGCAATGCAGGTGTCTTATTTACTGCAAATCAGAATGTTTTCAATTATGTACATATCTATATCTCTCCAACAAAACGTTTTCTCAGTTAACGTCTGTTGTACGTATGCTATTATTGGGAGGGGTCTTTTCTATCAATAAACACAATCAAACCTCTCAGTGACAAACCTGTTTTATATTCGACAGTAATTGATAGTAAATCAATTTTGAGAAGAGAAATCATTTATCATTTAATCACAACAAAGTTCTATTTACCCACAATCAAACTTCTCAGTAACGAACCTGTTTCAGGCTCACCCTGCTTAACTCACAAGACAGTGGACTGTTCCATTATGCCCATAGGTGTTACCCTAATTAACCTTCTAGTTCAGTGTCTGTCAATTGGGTGTCTGTCATATGGGTGTCTGTCAATTGGGAGATAACCGGCTAAAGTGGTGTTAGTTTTGGTGCATATTGATAAGTTTTACGATTTTTTGTCGTAAATGCATGGTGCAGATGTGGTATATATTCATGTTTGAATGGCATTATGTAATAAAAATGCATTATGTTTAACCTTTTTAAAATCCTTTAACTGCCCAGGAGAGTGAAACTAGGCTTTATTACACAACACATGGGAATAGTGAACAGAATTGTGATGGCAGTGGGATCACGTAACAATGGAATAGATTGAGCATGTTGTTAAGAATATTTTGGATACTATCAAGTTACCATGTTACAGTGTCCTTCTGATTTCCAGCATATGCATCCGCTTTAACTATAATATTATTCCTGTTCTCCTCGAGATTTAAAACATGAATTATCTCACCTTGGGCAGTCATTTGGCCATAAATATAAAAGACCTTATTACCCAAGCTTTCATTGTGTTCATGTGAATCTGTTTGGAGCAGCATTAATTTATTCAATGTATGGTGTAAACTAAGATGTAGTCGTACCATTTTGAGTGAGAATCTTATTGTTTTTCTTCTAACTGAAAAATATATCAATTGTAAAAGGAACTTAGAATACCCTTCACTGAACAGTAGCATTATTAAAACAGTCACATGGACGACAAACTGCTGACATTGATTTAAGCTGTGGAATAGAGATTACAAAGTAAATGGGTGTTGAATATGGAAAATATTCTGAGATTTTTTTCACGAGCAAAAGTGAGTTGGAACATTTTCCATATTCTACATCCACAAGTTTTGTGATCTATTTATTACACACAGGACGGGAAAACAGTGTGATCCATGATGACAAATCAAGCAGTCAATGCCAGATGGAAACAAAATGAAAGGGAGATAACTCTGTCGCGACTACTTTATAGATGAAAATAAATATTGAAAATATTCATTTAAAAAATAATAATACTTCCCAGGACACTGAAATTGAAATCTGATTATCCATAAACCTAATGCTTTCTTTGGTTGATATTTTTGGTAAAAAAACTGCCTGAATGGAGTTATAATGTTAATTTGCAATATTGCGGTGGCAACAGAAAGTTCGGCATTATGAAGTCATTATCATTAAATAACCTAGTTTGGTTACACAACAGTCGTTATTATTTATTATAATCTATTTATATAGCGCTGAGTTCAAACTAGGCTGCTCACAGGCGCTTTCGTTTTTCCTTCGATCATAGGATGTCAGTCTCAACGGCACTTCGTATTATCAATCTCAACTCCCTGGGGAGCATACAACTCTTGCAGCCACTAGGTGCACCGAGTTAATGTGGCTTTCCCATCCTTATGAGGTACCCATTCACAACTGGGTGGACTGGGACACATAGTCACAGTACTTTGTCCAAATTTACTGCATGTTGCTGTACCCGCAACTAGGCGTTTGCACATATTCATGTGGCCACCATCTTGACATATACCAATGGATTCGTGGGTTCTTTTAAGTACACAGGGTCACACTGTACACTAGGGGTTGTGACAACACTGAAACACACAACACCTGTTTGAAATAACCAAAATTATCTCCTAAAGATATTCAGAACATACGTAATAAATACAGCTACAGCATCACATAGAGAAGAATCATGATCAATTAGTATTCTGTTATGTTCCTTATCTTACACATAGAGAAGAATCATGACCAATTAGTATTCTGTTATGTTCCTTATCTTACACATAGAGAAGAATCATGATCAATTAGTATTCTGTTATGTTCCTTATCTTACACATAGAGAAGAATCATGATCAATTAGTATTCTGTTATGTTCCTTATCTTACACATAGAGAAGAATCATGATCAATTAGTATTCTGTTATGTTCCTTATCTTACAGACTGTCTTACTCCAAGCTCCTGAATGACAGCCAAGAGAGAAGATCACAGACTGAAACAAGGTAAGATCACATTAACAGTCCTCACATAATTGGAAAGCTTGGTACAAAACCAGTCTGATGCTCTATTCCAATGTGTCACTTTGTTTGTGAGGATACTCAGGGAATGTTTTAGAGGGTAGGGTTTGTCGACAGTTCTTAAAACTTGAGCTTGAATGGGTGAAGTGGCTGCTTGTGTACTCTGTAGGTGATTGGAGTGTAGATCATACTGAAACTAGACTTGCCTGCTTGGAGATATGTTTTTCTGGCAAGTTGGAAGTTAGTAACTTCAGACTTCACTGACATCAATTGATATGCCAATAAGGATTCTATATGAGTATAGGTCACCACTACCATCGATTCCCATTACAGTGCAGATAGAATGTCCCTTTACTTTAAGAATGTGGATAATTGCACATTTTCAGCTTGATTGTTTACTGTTATGATGTGTCTGACTATGACATAAAGCAGCTTTTGCTAAATCTGTGTTCTTAGAAATGTGTAAACCTGTTTCAGTGGCAGCCTGCCTGCTGTGTCTGGGCTGACACAGCCTCCTCCACTGGAATCAGTTGTGGAGGAAGAAGCTACCAGTGACCATGGCAACAAGGATGATCCCAATTGTGACTTCCTTTGTCTCAGACCAGCCAGCATCAACAGGAGCACCTCATCCAGACAGGAGGAAGGACTGGACTCAACGGAAGAGGAATTCTGGATGGTAGATGACAAGCCACCCAAAAAGAAGAAACCTGTGAAGAAGAGCAAGTCTCCGAAACATAGTGTGAAACAGAAAAGGAACAGTGCAGGAGATGTTATGGAGGAAGATACTGTGAAGAAGAGCAAGTCTCCGAAACATAGTGTGAAACAGAAAAGGAACAGTGCAGGAGATGTTATGGAGGAAGATACTGTGAAGAAGAGCAAGTCTCCGAAACATAGTGTGAAACAGAAAAGGAACAGTGCAGGAGATGTTATGGAGGAAGATACTGTGAAAGGAAAGAAGACAACAAGGAAGAAGACAGAAAATGTAAAGAAACGTGCAGGAAAAGGTAAATTTTTCCTTATCCTGACTCATGTATTATTACTTGTCTCCTTCCTTCCTCGAACGTTAGTGGAACACTTGTATCTCCTTTTTGAAGCTCCATTCAAAAAAGCAGACGTAAAATCACTACTCACCACGAGGTGCCTCCCTCTCCGTTTTGGGGGGAAAACGGCGCCATTCGTCTTCCCACTCTTCACTCTCTCCTTCTTCGCCCTAGTGGACGGTTGGGAGAGCACCTGTGTCTCCAACACGGCACTATATCCTTTGCTAACTTAGTTATTACCCTATAAGTTACCTTTATAAGGTTTCAGGGAGTATCTTTCTACAATATGGTTTGAAATTTATTAGCAAATTTGACTGTTTATTCACGGTTTCAAGTGATTGTTCAGTTTGTTTACATTTCATGAAAACCTGTTTTCGTTGTAGGTTTAGGTTCTCTACTAGACCCGCATTTATTGTGCCCTAGTTGCACAACAATATGTACTTCCAGCTCTCGCTGTAAATTATGTCAGCAACTAACAAAAAATTGAATTTAATAATGATTATTTCTCTGTACTTAGACGTGCTAAGGATAAATCCAGGCGGCTGTTACAAGTCATGGCTAAACCGGCTGAGTCCCTAAAGAGCTGTCTGTCGTTGTCAGACGACATACTTCCATCCAGTGACCTGCCGGAGGCGCCAGAAGATGAGTGGGATGAAGTCCGCCATTACGTCAAAGAAAAGATCTTCTACGTCGGACAACTCCTCAACCCATACGAAGAAGAAGAGGCCATCTTCGTCGCAGAAGAAGCCTTACATCCCTAAGGCTTCAACGAGATCTACTGGGAGCTCTTCACAGACTACAAGGACCTTCTCTGCCGAGATCGTCCCGATGGAAGAAATAGGCTTGTACGAAGAACCGCCTATCCTCATCCCAGAGATACTGCATAAGAAGAAGACACAGGCCTCGGCAACGTCAGCAACGTTATCGACGCAGTCTGAGTTACCTTCTACACTGACAGCAGGGACCCATGAGGTACAGCGATCCCTGGACCATATCGCTACCCTCTCAGATGCGTCATCTCTACAGTCGTCGCAGACATTCAACCCCGGGACCTTCATGCAGCAATTCTCCCAACAGATGATGGACCTGATGGAGAAGCGCTTCGCGCAGGAAAGGACCTTGCATGATGGTCAGGCAGCCGCCTCTCATGCTCAACCAGTGCTGCACGAAGGACCCCGCACCGGTGGTGCATCTGAGATATCTACAAGAGGTTCTAGCTCTAGGACTAAGAGCAGACCTACCCTGCACGACGTCAACGAACCTGCGCGAAGGAAGGGACATTCATCCGACCAAAATAGATCGTCATCTGATGATGAAGCTAATGAAGAGCCTTCGTGCAGGCTACCTACATCACAGAGAGGCTTACACCTCCAAGAAGATACAGAGAAACGTCTCAGGACTCAGACCCTCAACAAAATCTCTCACCTGCGCGAAGGTCGTCAGATAGATCATCAAGAATGTCACCATCACCATGCAGGTCGTCAAGGGATTCACCACATAGGAACATATTGTCTTCGCGAAGGCAACCCCGGACACGTAGACGCTCACCTCCACAAAGGTCGCCATACAGATCTCCTCTTAGAACTACACATAGTTCTACGTACTCATCTCCACACAGATTGCCACGCAGATCTCCATGTAGGGAGAATACTCAACGATCATATCCAACTGGACATGATACAGAGGACGATGGCGGAATCATATTTTCGGACTCAGGAATAAAATATTGGATGGCTAATCGACTGGACTTAGCGTCACCCGCTAAAGAAGAGAATGAAGCATTCACGTACCTAATGAAGGACGATGATGTAGACACAATCACCCTACCTCCAATTGACCCGGTCTCGGACGTACCTGAGGAATTTGACGCAGCCTTCGAGAAGGCAACAAAGTTCCAGTCTCCAAATATCCCACAGTTCAACGCAAAAAGCCGCTACACTCTCAGATGCGTCACTACATCTGCAGTCGTCGCAGACCTTCAACACGGGTATTTTTATGCAGCAAATGATGGACCTAATGGACGGTTCGTGCAAGCCTAAAGGACGAAGCTGCGGGAGGTAATCGGCATGAAGAAATATGTGAAGGATCACGCACTTGACAGTCATGCTCTGCAGTTTCGACGATTAATATAGACGTCCTTGGCCATCCCACTTCACCCTCAGACCTTGATCTTCGTTGTGAGCCTATACGAAGGAACTCTTCAGCATGAATTAAGAAATCTTCGCCTGCGCAAAGACAGAGGGACAGGTGTTGAAGTTCAAGAGGGGTACTCTTGTCCGAATTCATCACCTGCGCAGATCTTCAGACTGAATCCAGGACGGGATTCACATCGTTGCGAATTTTTAGATAGATGTATCTACATCAGAAGATAATAACGGGACTAACTGCACTCCTTGGTGCTAACAACCTACACCTTCTCAAAGGTTAGAGATGTATCTGAAGAATCCAGGAGGGACTCATGTCCATATAGAGATCTTCACTTGCGTACAGATCTTCAGGTATTCACATTGGCGTGGTTTAGCACAGCCTTGCTAAGGCTATGAAGTTACAAAGTCAACATATTCCCAACGTCCAAGCTTGGGAATTCCCGCTACTTTACATGGGACCCTGCATAATGGCTCCAGAGATTGATGTAAACTACAAAATCATCAACGACTCCCTTTGTAGCACTTACAACAAAGTTGAGCATCAACTCTACAAGGACCTGTGTGTTTCAACACAAAGAGGGTATTTTACGGCGCTTCATTGAGACAGATGAATACAGTCTACAAGTAACAGCGCTAAGGAAGTATGGATTTCAGCTGATCATCTGTATAAAAGGACGACTGCATTATCTTCAGGACTGAAGTAACAGTCACAGCAGCCAGGAAAACAGCCTACCTACATCGGTATTACGCGGCGAAATCTTTCGCGCGTTTACCATTCAACCCTCTATACACGTGGTCACTCGTGTAACTCCGGAAGGCTACGGACAAGACCGAGTGTTGATAAGATATCAACGACTGCACAAGATTCTACAAGGACCTTTTTTCTGCTACACCGGTGACGTCACATCGTGGGAAGCTAAGGAATCAAAATGCTTCATTTTGATTGGTCCATGAGAGACAACGCCCTGCGCAGAAGTCGGACGTAGTTCACATGTCAGGGAATTGTTTACAAGTGACAACAACCTGTCAACGTGGGAGGAAGGCCTCAATTACTGTCCAGTTAGACGGGAACTACGTGATCCGACTGTCTTCACGGGGTTAGAGACCTTCCCTGTCAGCATTGAAGACGGTTCATCAGGCGAATTGCAGCAACATACGTTTGACGGACTTTTGGTTACGGCAGCCAGTCTACCTTACATAGACTTCACAACGATGGCAGTCACAGAGTCTGACATTGCTTCGTTTCCCTTACGGACATGGCAAGGGTTTCACGATCGTTGGATCTAGATACAAGCCATTGTATCTCAAGCACTACTCTCTCCATTATTACTACGAAGTTGGCAGAATCTACTCAGTCCTCAAGTCGGAACTAGAGCCTACACAGGACCTGCAGTTCCTAGGAATTCACCTCATCACAACAGATTACCGCATAGCGGTTCCAGAGGACCGTTACAACAGATACAACAGATGGTATCGCAAGCTCTACTCTCTCCGTGGCCACTCCGACAGTGGCAGAGTCTGTTGGGTCTCCTCACGTCAGCACAGGATATGACGCGCAGAGGGAGATTACAACTACGCCCACTACAGGTCTTCGTAATTGCACATCTGGACGATCCGGACCCCTTCGGACTCCCGGACAGACTAAAACCATATCTACTATGGTGGACTCAGAGATCGAATGTTTGTGGAGGCACCTACTTAGCAGAACTGGAGTGCAAAACGCATCTCTATGTGGACGCATCTCTCCAAGGATGGGGAGCACACCTCGACAACGAAGTGTCAGCTGGGAAATGGACATTACAAGAGAAAGATCTGCATATCAACATGCTAGAAATGAAAGCAGTGATAAACGCCATACTTCACTGGACCAGCATTCTAAAAAATGCTCATCTGATGGTACACAAGGACAACTCCACAGTGGCGTTCTACATAAACAAACAAGGATCAACAAGGTCGGCGAACCTTTTGAACCTTTGCTTTCATCTGTTCAGCATAACAGACAATCTGAATATCCACATAAAAGCATGCCACATTCCAGGAGCCAAGAATGTGATAGCAGACGCACTATCTCGTCCAACTCAGCCATCCCCAACAGAATGGATGCTATATCCAGAAATCTTCAAACAGATCATACAAGAGATAGGAGCGCCACTAATAGACTTGTTTGCCACAAGATTCAACAATCAACTGGTAACATTCGTCTCTCCCAATACCAGATCCACGATCATGGGCAACAGATGCTCTAAGCATCTCTTGGGAAGGACTAAACGCTTACGCGTTCCCGCCACCAGCTCTAATACCGAAAGTGTTGCAGAAAATCATGCAGACGAGGAACCTGAAACTGATTTTGATCGCGCGCCTTACTGGTCAGCGAGAATATGGTTCCCCATTCTCATACAAGAACTAGGACCGCCTCAACTGCAACTACCAGAGTGGACGAACTTGCTAGTACATCCGCACACAAAGCAAGCACACAGGTGGCGAAGCTTTGAGACCTACGCTTTGAAAACAGGCTTCACAGCCATGAAAGCGACACACCCTCAAGTGGCGGACTATATTTGTCACCTAAGACAAACGAAGTGGTTAAAAGGGTCAACACTCTCAACATACCTAGCGGCATTGAGCTCAGTTATCACTATGAGGACGAGTGTAAAACTGACTAAGGTACCAGAGTTACTGGCCTTACTACGCTCTTTTAAACTGGAGGACCAACAACAGAGATTTAAAGCTCCGGCTTGGGACCTCAATATAGTTCTACGGCATCTCACCAGTGACGCTTATGAACCATTAGATAGGACATCTTTTGAGTTCTTGACACAGAAAACTCTATTCCTGATTGCCTTAGCAACAGCAGCAAGGATGTCAGAAATACATGCTCTAGACTTTGAAAGGACACGATTTGATGAAAATCGAAACATCATACATATGGGACTGAGATGGGACTTTATAGCAAAGAATCAACTGCCAGGTCAACCGGACAGACAATTCCACATCCCAGCATTATCATCAGTCCTTGGGCCACAGGATACACAGGACCTATCCTTGTGCCCAGTAAGAGCATTAAAAGTCTACCTACAAAGGTTAGGACCAGGAGACGAAAATTCAAGCGTCTTTTCATCCCTATATCGGCAGAGACACCTACCGAGATCTCTCGCACTACGATATCAATATGGATGAGAACTGTCATTCTACGGGCCTACAAAGCAGCAGGACTTGATCCTCCACGAGCCTCCAATCCACATGAAATTAGAGCTCTGGCGTCAACACTCGCTCTACATGGAAACTGCTCTATCACTACGATAATGGAGGGCTGCTTCTGGAAATCGGACATGGTGTTTGCCAACCACTACCTGAGAGACATCGCCACTGAAGACGTCTCCGGCATTCACCATTTTGGCCCCCTTGTTGTAGCACAACAACTGACAGTTCCACAGAGGCGCTGAGACAGAGTCTCGCCCTTTTATCACATGACTTGCAAAAGCCAACACTCAGGAGAGTTACAGCTTTAGAGTCCATATGCACGTCTAAGACAGACTAGCATGAGTGTTAAGACCCAGTACTTGTAAGGACGTACTCGTACATAAGAAGGGTCGCTTCTCCACTTGATGCATGCATCAAGAGATGGAGTTGTTAAAATCCACATGTAATGTTAACAGAAGCAAGGACCAAAAGTTGACAATTGTGGTCCCCCCATCAGAGAAAGCTGAAAGTAAGGGTTACAGCAGCAGAGCCTAGCAGTAAATTGAAGTGCTACCAGGAAGTTCCCATAGGGGGGTATGCAAGACGTAAATTACCAAATTGGAATCCAGAAGTGGCTTGACCCACCACCAAATCTGTAGGATTCTACAAGCAATAATACATGAGTCAGGATAAGGAAAAATATGTAATTTTCTGAGTAAAATTGATATTTTATACTTATCCTGACTCATGAGGTAAGCCCTCCCAGCCTCCCCGCTAGGCATTTTGGATTTTCCACCAAATCTAAGTGTCGGGCTTGCAATTCGGAGAGAGTGAAGAGTGGGAAGACGGGTGGCGCCGTTTTCCCGCCAAAACGGAGAGGTAGACAACTCGTGGTGAGTAGTGATTTTACGTCTGCTTTTTTTAACGTTCGCGGAAGGAAGGAGACAAGCAATAATACATGAGTCAGGATAAGTATAAAATATCAATTTTACTCAGAAAATTACATTATAATTATCCATGATAATATTATGAGTAAAGGGTCAGAGTTCAAATTCTTTTCACAAACAGACTCGGTTTGATTCCTCACATAGGTACAATGTGTAGAGCTCATTTCTAGTGGCTGTGAATTTACTTGAATAATAATAAGAGCTTCATAAGAACATACCTTCTCTTTCACCGATGAATGTACAACCATGTCACTTATCTACACCCTTAAACAATGAACTTGAAAATGAAGTTGTCAATGTGCTATGACCATATTAAGAAATCCAGCATGTTATGTTGTGAGACACATCTGCATGTTACAACTTTGAGTCTTGCACTGGTCTTCAGATGGAACATCTCCTGTGGTATCAGAGGCTGACATTGTGGCAGAGGATGAGGAGGGATTGCTCCAGCACACTCTCTTTACAGACACTCCAACCTCCTGCAGTCCGAGGAAGAGAAAGTCCACGCAACAACCTGCCGCAAACTCAGGTACATTTGACACACACACACACACATGACATGACATTACAACAGCGCTTGTGGTGGATAAGTATCTGGTGGTGCTGTCATCACAGACAGTCATGACATGACATTACAACAGCTCTTGTGGTGTATGAGTATCTGGTGGTGCTGTCATCACAGACAGTCATGACATGACATTACAACAGCTCTTGTGGTGTATGAGTATCTGGTAGAGCTGTCAACACACACACACATGACATGACTTTACAACAGCTCTTGTGGTGTATAAGTAGCTGGTGGTGCTGTCACCACAGACAGTCATGACATGACATTACAACAGCTCTTGTGGTGTATGAGTATCTGGTGGTGCTGTCATCACAGACAGTCATGACATGACATTACAACAGCTCTTGTGGTGTATGAGTATCTGTTGGTGCTGTCACCACAGACAGTCATGACATGATGTTACAAGAGCTCTTGTGGTGTATAAGTATCTGGTGGTGCTGTCACAACAGACAGACATGGCATGACATTACAACAGCTCTTGTGTATAAGTATCTGGTAGAGCTGGCATCACAGACAGTCATGACATGACATTACAACAGCTCTTGTGGTGTATGAGTATCTGGTGGAGCTGTCACCACAGACAGTCATGACATGACATTACAACAGCTCTTGTGTATAAATATCTGGTGGAGCTGTCAACACAGACAGTCATGACATGACATTACAACAGCTCCTGTGGTGTATGAGTATCTGGTAGAGCTGTCACCACAGACAGTCATGACATAACAACAGCTCTTGTGGTGTATAAGTATCTGGTAGAGCTGTCACCACAGACAGTCATGACATGACATAACAACAGCTCTTGTGTTGTATGAGTATCTGGTGGTGCTGTCACCACAGACAGTCATCACATGACATTACAACAGCTCTTGTGGTGTATGAGTATCTGATGGTGCTGTCATCACAGACATTCATGACATGACATTACAACAGCTCTTGTGGTGTATGAGTATCTGGTGATGCTGTCACCACAGACAGTCATGACATGACATTACAACAGCTCTTGTGGTGTATGAGTATCTGGTGGTGCTGTCACCACAGACAGTCATGACATGACATTACAACAGCTCTTGTGGTGTATGAGTATCTGATGGTGCTGTCATCACAGACAGTCATGACATGACATTACAACAGCTCTTGTGTGTGAGTATCTGGTAGAGCTGGCATCACAGACAGTCATGACATGACATTACAACAGCTCTTGTGTATGAGTATCTGGTAGAGCTGTCACCACAGACAGTGATGACATGACATTACAACAGCTCTTGTGGTGTATGAGTATCTCGTGGAGCTGTCACCACAGACAGTCATGACATGACATTACAACAGCTCTTGTGGTGTATGAGTATCTGGTGGTGCTGTCATCACAGACAGTCATGACATGACATTACAACAGCTCTTGTGGTGTATGAGTATCTGGTGGTGCTGTCATCACAGACAGTCATGACATGACATTACAACAGCTCTTGTGGTGTATAAGTATCGGGTAGAGCTGTCACCACAGACTGCCATGACATGACATTACAACAGCTCTTGTGGTGTATGAGTATCTGGTGGAGCTGTCACCACAGACAGTCATGACATGACATTACAACAGCTCTTGTGGTGTATAAATATCTGGTGGAGCTGTCAACAGAGACAGTCATGACATGACATTACAACAGCTCTTGTGGTGTGTGAGTATCTGGTGGAGCTGTCACCACAGACAGTCATGACATGACATTACAACAGCCCTTGTGGTGTGTGAGTATCTGGTAGAGATGTCACCACAGACAGTCATGACATGACATTACAACAGCTCTTGTAGTGTATGAGTATCTGGTAGAGCTGTCACCACAGACAGTCATGACATGACATTACAACAGCTCTTGTGGTGTATAAGTATCTGGTAGAGCTGTCACCACAGACAGTCATGACATGACATTACAACAGCTCTTGTGGTGTATGAGTATCTGGTAGAGATGTCACCACAGACAGTCATGACATGACATTACAACAGCTCTTGTGGTGTATGAGTATCTGGTAGAGCTGTCACCACAGACAGTCATGACATGACATTACAACAGCTCGTGTTGTGTATGAGTATCTGGTGGTGCTGTCAACACAGACAGTCATGACATGACATTACAACAGCTCTTGAGGTGTATGAGTATCTGGTGGTACTGTCAACACAGACTGTCATGACATGACATTACAACAGCCCTTATGGTGTATGAGTATCTGGTAGAGCTGTCACCACAGACAGTCATGACATGACATTACAACAGCTCTTGTGGTGTATGAGTATCTGGTAGAGCTGTCACCACAGACAGTCATGACATGACATTACAACAGCTCGTGTTGTGTATGGGTATCTGTTGGTGCTGTCATCACAGACAGTCATGACATGACATTACAACAGCTCTTGTGTTGTATGAGTATCTGGTGGTGCTGTCAACACAGACAGTCATGACATGACATTACAACAGCTCTTGAGGTGTATGAGTATCTGGTGGTACTGTCAACACAGACTGTCATGACATGACATTACAACAGCCCTTATGGTGTGTGAGTATCTGGTAGAGCTGTCACCACAGACAGTCATGACATGACATTACAACAGCTCTTGTGGTGTATAAATATCTGGTGGAGCTGTCAACAGAGACAGTCATGACATGACATTACAACAGCTCTTGTGGTGTGTGAGTATCTGGTGGAGCTGTCACCACAGACAGTCATGACATGACATTACAACAGCTCTTGTGTGTGAGTATCTGGTGGAGCTGTCATCACAGACAGTCATGACATGACATTACAACAGCTCTTGTGTTGTATGAGTATCTGGTGGTGCTGTCAACACAGACAGTCATGACATGACATTACAACAGCTCTTGTGGTGTATAAGTATCTGGTAGAGCTGTCACCACAGACAGTCATGACATGACATTACAACAGCTCTTGTGGAGTATGAGTATCTGGTGGTGCTGTCACCACAGACAGTCATGACATGACATTACAACAGCTCTTGTGGTGTATGAGTATCTGATGGTGCTGTCATCACAGTCAGTCATCACATGACATTACAACAGCTCTTGTGGTGTATGAGTATCTGGTGGTGCTGTCATCAGAGACAGTCATGACATGACATTACAACAGCTCTTGTGGTTTATAAATATCTGGTGGAGCTGTCACCACAGACAGTCATGACATGACATTACAACAGCTCGTGTTGTGTATGGGTATCTGGTGGTGCTGTCATCACAGACAGTCATGACATGACATTACAACAGCTCTTGTGGTGTATGAGTATCTGATGGTGCTGTCATCACAGACAGTCATGACATGACATTACAACAGCTCTTGTGGTGTATGAGTATCTGGTGGTGCTGTCACCACAGACAGTCATGACATGACATTACAACAGCTCTTGTGTGTGAGTATCTGGTGGAGCTGTCATCACAGACAGTCATGACATGACATTACAACAGCTCTTGTGTTGTATGAGTATCTGGTGGTGCTGTCAACACAGTCAGTCATGACATGACATTACAACAGCTCTTGTGGTGTATAAGTATCTGGTAGAGCTGTCACCACAGACAGTCATGACATGACATTACAACAGCTCTTGTGGAGTATGAGTATCTGGTGGTGCTGTCACCACAGACAGTCATGACATGACATTACAACAGCTCTTGTGGTGTATGAGTATCTGATAGTGCTGTCATCACAGTCAGTCATGACATGACATTACAACAGCTCTTGTGGTGTATGAGTATCTGGTGGTGCTGTCATGAGAGACAGTCATGACATGACATTACAACAGCTCTTGTGGTTTATAAATATCTGGTGGAGCTGTCACCACAGACAGTCATGACATGACATTACAACAGCTCGTGTGGTGTGTGAGTATCTGGTAGAGCTGTCAACACAGACAGTCATGACATGACATTACAACAGCCCTTGTGTTGTATGAGTATCTGGTAGAGCTGTCACCACAGACAGTCATGACATGACATTACAACAGCTCTTGTGGTGTATGAGTATCTGGTGGAGCTGTCACCACAGACAGTCATGACATGACATTACAATATCTCTTGAGGTGTATGAGTATCTGGTGGTGCTGTCATCACAGACAGTCATGACATGACATTACAACAGCTCTTGTGGTGTATGAGTGTCTGGTAGAGCTGTCACCACAGACAGTCATGACATGACATTACAACAGCTCTTGCGGTGTATAATTATTTGGTGGAGCTGTCAACACAGACATAAGTTAGCACTGTCAAGAGAATGAAAGCACCTAAAAGCACAGTTGTGTACATGTCCAAATGGATTTCCCTTGATGTTTTCTCTTCAAGACATTTGTTTTAGTGTCGCTAACAGTACTGACTACATTGAATTTTCTTGATGTGCTGTAGGTGGGAAGAAATCCAAATCGGCCCGAGTGACCAAGACAAGGGTGATAATGAAAGGGACCAGGAAGTCAGCTGTTACCAAGGGTAATGTCTGTATACAGCTCATGTCTACCATAGGTTCCTCCAGTTGCATAAGGAGGGGGTAGTTGCTGTATGGCATGCCAGGATGCACTCTTTTGATTATGACACTTACTTTATCAGTTCATGGTTTTCACCAAAATGATGTCTACAGTATTCCTTATTATATGATTATTCCCACACTTAAATGCTGTTCCCAATACTTCTTGAACCAGTTCACATTTATGTGTGCATTCAGATTCCCAGATTGTATCTTAATAACGTAGATTGAAGCTCATGATAGGAATACCTGTATTACCTTGTCCAGACTTGATTATGTACAGACCACTGTCTCCATGCTTGAATGTTGCTGAGCGTGGTACTAGTCAGCAAACCAACATAAGATGTCCCTACAGCTACTGACAGACAAATCATGGACTTTCAGTATAAGTATTGCAGGAGTGTTAGGCCCATTACACTTGGTTTGTTTCACCAGTATTTTTTCAATTTTCTGCCCACACAAGTTTACTGCCACTGTTTGTTAGCCTGTTAGCCTCCCTGCGTAGGTACATTCTGACTCTTAACTCAGCTCCATGTAGCCTAAACCTTGACTTGCTGTCAAACCCAGTCACTGCTTAGTCCATGTTCTGCATGCTTGACGTGTGGCATTGGACAATGTTGTTGCATCAAACCTGCAGACGGTTAGGCTCTGAGACCAATCTTATGAAGGAGTTTTTGCACTGTGTGGCCAGACAACATTCACAGTTGTGGAACTGTTGTGGTTGTAGACGATGAACATCACACACCATATGAAGCTGTCCTGGGTTTGTCACATTTCACATCTTGCTGTTAGCTAAGTCTAAAACTGGTTCCCTGGGGCACATTATGTACCATGGCTACAGCTAACTGAGCTCCACCTGCTTCCTTTGCTGTCATTGTAAGCTCAAATTATATATTTTTCCTTATCCTGACTCATGCTTATTGCTTGTCTTCTTCTTCTTGCGAACCTAGTGGAACACGTGTATCTCCCAATTGAAGTTCCCTTCAATTAAAACATCACTCATTAGTACTCACCACGAGTTATCTCCCTTCCACAAGCGTGGGAACGAGGGCGCCACCTGAACCCATGTGCCTCACTCTCTCCTTCTTCGCCCAGTGAGCAGGACGTGAGAGCGCCTGTGTCTCCCAACACACTATATCCTTTATTTATATTTAGTTTAGTACCTCTTATACTTAGTATAGAGGTGTTACTAGTATCCCTATTCAATTTCGCATTGATTATTAATCCTGTTTCTGCTGTTTTTTCACGGTTCGCCATGTTTGTTCAGTAGTTTACGTTAATGAGAATCTGCACAGATTGTAAACTACGTTACTCTGATACAGACCCACATTTAAAATGCCCTAGTTGCATTACTCCATGTTCATTTGTTTCTCGTTGTAAATTTTGTATTAATTTACCAATTTCTGCCTTTGATAAATATTTATGTTCCGTTTTTAGACGGAAGGCAGATAAATCTCGTAAACAAATCTCAGTCATGGCTAATAGATCACATATTAATGTTCCCTGTCAACTGTTGACTGACGACCCGACACCGGCTGGTGGCATGCCTGAGTTTCCCTCGGGGGATAAGCGTGGGACGCAGTCCGCTATGTCCAAGAAGCGACCTGCGCCTCTCAAGATCTGTCGTCTTCTCAGTCTAAGACTAGCAAAGCGCCCATATCATCTCTCGCAGACGCTTCGTACACCCAGGTCTACAACTTCGCCAAAGGAAATCTACAAAATCTAATAATTTTGCCTCTGATATTTTACCAGTCACAGAATTAGCCTTATATGATGATGACATTCGATTATCATTCCAGAGGTTCGCTCACAAGAACGCCCTGTATCCGCTGACTGTCACCTCAGCGCAGATTAGCACACAACCGAGATGCCTACGCCGTCACCAGAAATTTTGACTGAAGGTCCCGCCACCTTCGCAGAGAGACAACCCTCATCATCAGTGCAGACCGCCTCAGACGACCTGGTCAACCAAATCATGAGGCTGATGGAAGACCGTTACGGGCTTACAGAGGCCCCAGAGCCACAGGCCCCAGAGCCCAACCCATTCTAAGTCATACAGGGCCCCAGAGCTCCGCCTTTGCTTTCAGCGTGGGGCCCCAGAGCCCACAGGCGCGCCCGCCGCGGGGCATCCCAGCCCGAGCGAAGCTCTTTGCATAGGAAGTCCAAGGCCACCTCCGCTGAAGGAGCTAGAACCTCACCTATTATGCGCAGAGGCTTCATGGAGAAGGAGCGCTTACGCCGAGCACGCACCTTGTAATTCACAGAGGTCGCTTCAAGCAAGCAAGCCACATGTCGGTCCCGGACACTGACTTCGAGACATTCGCGAAGGACGAAGGCTAAGTGGTTCCATTTCTACCTCGCCTAGAAGAGCTTCGCGAAGCCCCCAGCGCTCGCTGGAAGCCCCCAGTATTCGAGAAGCCCACAGCGCTTGCTGGTCCTCACCGTCATCGCTGGCCCCCAGCCTTCGCGGCGGATGTCTTCCCAAGGTCTCCGTGACACTAGCCACTCGTCAGTCCGCTTCCACAGTCCTCTCATAGATCTTCCCATAGATCTAGGACTCAGACATATGACCATACGTCAGAAGAGGAGGATGGTATCATTTTCTCAGATGCTGAGATAAGATATTGGATGGTGAATGAATTACAACTTGCCTCCCCATCAAAGAACGAGGATGCAACTCAGACTTACCTGATGAAGGATGATGATGTAGATTATATCACCTTACCTCCTATTGACCCAATCGCAGCCGTACCAGCTAAACTAGATACAGCCTGCTCCAAATCCACTAAAGCCCAATCTACTCATTTACCGGTCTTCAATGCCAAGACATTTGCTGGACATAATATGGAACCCTTTTTCAAGGCCCAGGATATTGATGACAACTTTCAACTTATCTCTGATACCAAGTCCAGAAGTTACGGAGTGAGCGATCGCAAAACTGGCCCAATTAGATACCATTTCCAGAAGGATGTTCTTCGGATTAAATAGATCTAGAACTATTAATGAGACTCTCATCACCAAGTTCAAGAATTCTACAGATGAGGAAGACAGAATGATCTATTCAGCTCTACTCATGCAGAAAAAAGACCACCAATTTCTTACAGAGCACCTTTCAGCGCTTACTGAAACTACTACCATGACGCGTAGGCAAGGATTACTAGCCTCCTGCTCTTGGAATAAGCAATTCACAGAGCCTCTTTACACAGCTCCATGGTCATCGCCCTTACTATTTGGTGGCAACATAAACAAGGTCTCCAAAGAAGTATCTAAAGATTCCAGAGAGGTACTTATGATTAGATCCATGGATACCTTAGCGAACGCCTTTAAACAGTCAGCACAGAGATACTCGGGCAAGTCTAAGTTCTCAGGGCTACAGAGAGCACGGGACAAGAAACTAGCTGCAGCTAATAATCCCAAGGATTCTTTTCGTCGCCCATACAGCAAATTTAGAGGAGGATCAGCTAGAGGCAGATCATCCAGAGGTGGCCGTGGATTTAAACGATGAAAGTCAGGTTCGGAACGACTGGAGTCTTCCACCCCCAGTCGTTCCAGTACAACCTTCTCAAGTGGGTGGACGTCTTCAACTACACTGGGAAAACTGGGGAATACTACAAGATCCAAGCCGCCGTTAACAGTCACCCCGCCAAGGTTCAACGTTCAACCGGCACAACTACCTATGTTAAGAGAAACAGTACAGTCTCTGCCAAACAAACAGGCCTTAGAAGTTCTGGATCAACGAAACATCGTACCAGGTTTCGACTCCCCAGTTTTCCTAGTGCCGAAAAAGAATTCCAAGGAGAAGTATCGTCTCATTTACAACATGAGCACCTTCAACAGAGAATATCTATGCAAACCACCAACGTTTCGCATGATACATTTACCACAACTTCGGCAATTAATTCGTCCACTAGATTACATGGCCAGCATAGATTTGCAAGACACATATTCACACATTCCGATTCATCCCAACTCAAGGAAATATCTAAGATTTATCCTAGATGGCAAACATTACCAATGGAAGGTACTTCCCTTCGGAATCACTTCAGCCCCATGGGTATTCACAAGAGTAACCAAGCCTATTGTCTCATACCTACATCGTCAAGGTCTGCGGAGCGCATTTTACCTAGACGACGGTATACAAGTGGATCCAGATCCACAGCGTCTCAGACTACAGCTGAACTTTATAATCAAGTTACTAACTCAATTAGGTTGGTTAGTAAATCTACTCAAGTCGGACCTAGAACCAACGCAGGATCTGCATTTTCTAGGTATACGATTCCTTACAGCTCAGAATCGTTTAGTAGTCCCGGAGGACAGATGGATCAAGATCCAACAACTGATTCCCAAGCCCTACTCTCTCCGTTACCACTACGACAGTGGCAGAGCCTATTGGGACTACTCACATCAGCTCAAGACTTGACACTCAGAGGCAGGCTTCAATTACGTCCATTACAAGTCCTCATCAATGCTCATCTCGAGGACCCTCTACCGTTCAGTCTACCAGATTACGTCAAACCACATCTACTCTGGTGGACCAAGAGATTGAATGTTTGCGCAGGCGTCTCCTTAGTAGAGCCGGAATCGAAAACACATCTCTACACAGACGCGTCACTAAAAGGTTGGGGAGCCCACCTTACCGGCAGGACAGCGTCAGGCCTATGGAGCTATCAAGAGAGCAAATGTCACATAAATCTGCTAGAGATGCAAGCAGTCATAAACGCCATAAGTCACTGGAGCAATCTACTACAGAACGCTCAGTTGATGATTCACACAGACAATTCAACAGTGGCGTTTTATGTGAACAAACAAGGTTCAACAAGATCACTGAATCTACTCACTCGTTGTTTCAGACTGTTCGATTTAGTCGACAATCTAAACATACATGTCAGAGCTTGCCACATTCCAGGAGCAAAGAATGTTTTAGCAGGCGCCTCTCTCTCACCCACACCAACCGTCCCCGACAGAATGGATGCTCCACACAGAGATATTCAATCAAATAATCATGGAAATAGGATCTCCCTTAATAGACCTATTTGCCACTTTTCGATTCAACAAACAACTGACAACCTTCGTGATCGCCAGTGCCAGACCCACTAGCATGGGCAACGGACGCACTAAGCATATCGTGGGATGGACTCAAAGCGTGCGCTTTCCGCCTCCCGTTAATCCCACAAGTCTTACAGAAAATCAGTCAAACGAAGAGCCTCGATCTCATTTTGGTCGCGCCTTACCGGCCTGCGAGAACGTGGTTTCCAGATCTCATGCTAGGAATCGGAAAACCAGTACTTCAGCTCCCACTGCGCACCAATCTATTGATACATCCGCACACCAAACAAGTGCACAAAACACCAGAAGCATACCAACTTCACGTGTGGATTGTATCAAGGCATGTTTGAATAAGAGAGGTTATTCTGCCAGAGCGGCTAAAGCGGTCACGCTTGCACTACGTAACTCAACTCGTAACTTGTACGATCACAAATGGCACAGCTTTGTCAATTATGCTGCTAAGAAAGGATTTACAGCAAGATATGCTACACATCCTCAAGTGGCAGATTTCTTGTTATCTACGTCAAACTAAGACTCTAAAAGGCTCAACCTTGTCCACTTATCTTGCAGCCATAAGTTCTGTCATAACTATGAGAACGGGCGTCAAGTTGACTAAAACACCGGAGTTACTCGCTTTGTTACGAGCATTCCAATTGGAAGATCAGAAACGGAAGTTTCAAGCTCCAGCCTGGGATCTAAATATAGTACTCCAACACCTCACGAGTGAGGCTTATGAGCCATTGTTATCTGCTTCGTTTGAATCACTGACCCACAAAACCTTATTCCTGTTAGCATTAGCTACTGCCGCCAGGATGTCTGAGATTCACGCTTTGGATTACGAGAGAACACGCTTTGATGATACTCATAACATCGCTCATCTGGGACTTCGCTGGGATTTTATAGCGAAAAATCAACTGCCAGGTCAACCAGACAGATTGTTCCATGTCCCAGCTCTCTCATCCATACTTGGACCGCATGATACGATGGACCTATCACTTTGCCCTGTAAGTGCACTGAAAATATATCTCCAACGATCCAAGCAAAGTAGAGGGAAATTCAAAAGATTGTTTATCCCTATATCCACCACTTCGCAGACAGAAGTGTCGCGTACTACGATTTCTATTTGGATCAGAACTGTCATACTACGAGCCTACAAGGCTGCAGGACTCGACCCTCCAAGAGCTTCTAATCCTCACGAAATTAGAGCGCTAGCCTCAACTCTCGCTCTACATGGAAATTGCTCGCTAAATACCATTATGGAGGGATGTTTTTGGAGATCCGATATGGTGTTTGCCAACCACTATCTGAGAGATATCACCACCAAGGATGTCTCAGGTATCCACCATTTCGGTCCCATGGTCCTCGCTCAACAGTTGACAGTTCCATGGAGAAGATAAGTTTATCTTACAGATTTTATACTTATCTGATAACAGTACTAATAGCTACATGCTATCTATATATTTTTGCTTAAGTTTAATTTATTATCCTAAGCTCAGTACTATGGTTCTATACCATACTGTATATATGCTTTCAACTCCTAGGAGTTCTGCTATTATATATATGTTCAGCTTAAGATATCAATCCTTAAGCTCAGTCATATGTTCAATTCATAACATGTATTAGTTAACAAACTCTAAGTAGTTGGTTACTATTTTACAGCTTAAGTTATATTATATCTTAAGCACAGTACTATTATAGCTTATATATATGCATATTGTAAGCTTAATACTTTGGTTCATTATAAAAGTATTCACTATAAACTCTCAGAAGTTTATACTATCACATTAATGGCTTCAGCTTACCTTAATGTTGTATATACTTTTATTATCTTCACTAAATTGTAATAACCTTTATATGGCAGCTGATAAGTTAACAGCAGGAATTCTTCAGTTCAGTGCCTTTATGAAGTTCCCATAGGGTTATTACAATCATCTCAGTTCAAATCACTAATTATTAAAATCCAAAGTATATATAATCCCACCTCCTGTTCCGTCGGATTCTACAAGCAATAAGCATGAGTCAGGATAAGGAAAAATATGAAATTTTTAGAGTAAAATTAATATTTTATACTTATCCTAACTCATGAGGTAAGCCCTCCCGTCCTCCCCACTAAACACTTTGGATTTCTTCGGAAAAATAAAGTGTCGGGCTCAAAACAAAAAAGGAGAGAGTGAGGCACATGGGTTCAGGTGGCGCCCTCGTTCACGCGCTTGTGGAAGGGAGGTAACTCGTGGTGAGTACTAATGAGTGATTTTTTAATTGAAGGGAGCTTCAATTGGGAGATACACGTGTTCCACTAGGTTCTCAAGAAGAAGAAGACAAGCAATAAGCATGAGTCAGGATAAGTATAAAATATTAATTTTACTCTAAAAATTTCATTTTTCAAATGTTAAAAGAAAATGTTGAAAGCGCATCATCGTCATGTTTAGATATGATCATGACATTTAGATAAATAGTGATTGATTGTACCAGGTGAACAGCAGGGCTTTGGTGTGTTGTTTTTCTAAGATACTTTTACCAACAACATCACATACATTCGGCTGAAGTCAGTGCTGCTTCTCGCCAAACCAGAGGTAGTGTTTTATCTGACATGTTATGTTATTTATGTGACATGTGTCTTAATACCATAGCCTCTGAGGTATTTATCACATATGGCATCATCACCATTCAAATATAAAGAAGAATTGGCTGGAGTAACTGACATGACATCATCTGAACTGAACTTTTGTTAATTCCACATGAAACTCTTTCCCACTGTAACAACATTTGTACCATTTTACTTGACAGCCTCTTTAAGTGGGTTATCTCATCTCAGCATTACTGTCCCGTGTGAGACTCCCAAGAGTGGGGTGTCATTCCGTCAAAGGAGAAGAACAAGTGTCAGCGACAGTGAGCTAAGCAGTATGAACATGTCCTGTCCTGCACAGTTTTCTCCTCAAAGTGGTAGGTTCACCGCAATAGATATGTTTCTTGGGGCCCCAGTTGTTACTTTAATACAGATAGACATTCATTCATGTATGCTTTTATCATGATTCAGAAGGTAATTTATGATGTTAACTAGAAACATGAGTGTTCATTACCAAAAGGCATACACTAGGGGTGAAACGGTGTACTGCGGTATTAGTAGAACCGCGATATTTTGCCTTCGGTTCAGTATACTGTAATGCAGTTTTAAAAAATCTGTATTTTCAGATTTGTCCTTATCCTGACTCATGCTAATTATGCTTGTCGCCTTCCTCTTGCGAATGATAGTGGAACACTTGAAATCCCTTGAAGTTCCCTTTAAAAAAGTGGACATAAAATCACTCACCCAAGAGTAGCGTCACTTTCCTCCCTTTGGCGCCCAAATGGTCACATGATCGGCTGTATTTGTCACTATCTCCTTCTTCGCCCTTGAGGACGGTTGTGAGAACACCTGGGTCCCTATACAGCACATATCCTTTTATATTTTCGAACCTTACATCAAAATTATTGCTGTATACGGTTTTTAGGATTATATTTTACATTATGGTTTGAAATTTGATCTAAATTTTCCGTTGTTTGACATGTGTTTTCTCGTGTTTACAATTGATGAAAACTTGTATTCGTTGTAGGTACCGAGTGTTAGCGGCTGACCCGCATTTAGTATGTCCTAATTGCACTGTTTTATGTTCTTTCAGCTCTCGCTGTGAGTTTTGTGTAAATTTAAATTAGGTTGAATTTACTAATTACCTTTTTTCCATCCATAGACGTGCTAAGGACTGGGTACGTAGGTATTCACAAGTCATGTCTAAATCGAGTGATTGCGCTGATAACCGTGTGTTAACCACTGCTGCAGATATTCATAATTCTAGTGAATTGCTGAACGTTTCTAAGGAGCTGGTCGATGTACCAGGGGTGAACGCCGGAGGCCATATGAGATCATCGTCTACTGAGCTGACCTCATCACAGCTACATCGGCATTGCTATCAGCGCAGACATTGACAGAAGACCTACTATCAACGCAGACATCGGGTACCAGAGATAGCAGCAGCGTCAACTCTTCACGAGTGCAGCGAGCCTTAGATGACGTCTCTTCGGTATCAGATGCATCATCCCTGCAGCAGTCTCTTCAGACAACGCAGAACTTCAACCCGGGACTGTTCATGCAACAGTTTACAGACCAGATGATGTCGATGATGGAATGTCGCTTCGCTCAAGAGAAGGCTGCTATGAAGACCGCTACAACGTCTACTAGCCTGCGTGAAGGCTCTACAGTCTCCCCACCACATCTAGATAGCGCGAAGGCAATCGGACACAACGATCTTCCCCATCTGAAGAGACACCCCAGAGGGTGCTGCTAAGAAGTCTCCACGCAGGAAGGAATCAAGGCGTTCTCCCGAACCCTACAGACGTCACAGATATGAGTCGTCATCTCCATTGGACTCTGACGCCCATCAAGAGCCTGTGCGAAGGCACTCCTACAGAGGGGAAGCTACGTCCAAGAATCCACTTTCGCGAAGGTCTAGAGAATTATCTCAAATCTCCAGGAAGGATTCAAGATCACATCGGTATCGATCGCCTGCACGAAGCTCATCTTATAGATCATCCTATAGAGACTCAAGTCATCGTGCATCCTTAGAGCGAGAGATGTCTAAATCAGAGGATGAAGGTGAAGGCGTATTCTCCAATACGGAAACTAACTCCTGGATTGCCAATGGCCTGGACTTATCATCACCTTCTAAGGACACAGATGAGGCGTTTACCTACAAGATGTCCAAAGATGATTTCGACACACTCACCTTTCCACCGACCAACCCGATCTCTCAAGTACCAGACAACCTCAATGCAGCTTTTTGATAAAGCCACCAAGTCGCAGAGTCAGCACATCCTGACATTCAACGCCAGGAAATTCCCTCTTCATAGGATGGAACCCTTCCTGAAGGCTCCAGAGGTTGATGATGACTATAAGATTATCACCGACTCCAGTCAAAGAACTTACAAGATTGAGGATAAGAAGTGAGCGCAGCTGGATACAACCACCAGACGTACTTTCTTCGGATTAGCCAGATCAAGGGCTATCAATGAAACACTCATCTCGAAGTTTAAGAATTCCTTGGCCGAAGAAGACCGGATGATATACTCCGCTCTAGTTATGCAGAAGAGAGACCATCAATGTATGTCGGAGCACCTAGCATCCACCTCAGCGGGCTTGACTCTCCTGAGAAGACAAGGGTTATTGTCAGCATGCACTTGGAGTGAACGCTTCACCAAGTCTTTATACAGAGCCCCATGGTCATCATCTTACATCCTCGTAGGAGGAATTGAAGAAGTCGCCAGAGAAGTCTCTTACGACTCCAGGGAAGTTATGATGATTAAATCCATCAACACTTTGGCTAATGTGATTCGTCAGACGTCCCAACGCTACTCCAACAAATCTAAGTTTGCAGGAGTCCAGAGAGCCAGAGAAAAGAAGTATTCCAGTATGAAAGGAGGAAGAGGCTCCTTTCATCGCCCAACTGGAGCTCCTAGAGGTAACCCCGGAAGAGGCCGAGCACCCAGGGGTGCAAGAGGAATCAAGCATTGAAGGCCAGGTTCAGAACGACTGGAGTCTTCCACCCCCAGCCGTTCCTGTACAACCTTCGACAGTGGGTGGATGTCTTCAACGGTACTGGGAGAATTGGGGAATACTACAGGACGACTAGGTATCCCAGATACTGCGCAGAGGGTACAAGATACAGTTGGAAGCCACTCCGCCGCTCACAAGCAACCCGATGGCCTTCAACTACGCAACCGACCAGATGCTATCAAGACCCTACTCGACAAAGAGGCAGTAGAAGAGATAGATCAAGGTCTCATCACGCCCGGGTTCTACTTCCCAATTTTCCTGGTACCGAAGAAGAATTCCAAGGAGAAATTTCGGCTCATCTACAACATGAGGAAGTTCAACCGGGAGTATCTACCAGCAAACTTCAAGATGATACATCTTCCTCAGCTCCGACATCTCGTTCGTCCAGCAGACTACCTCACCAGCACAGATCTGCAAGATGCGTACCTCCACATCCTGATACATCCAGACTCAAGGAAATACCTACGTTTCCTTTTCAACGGACAGCACTTCCAGTGGAAGGTTCTACCGTTTGGAATATCGTCGGCCCCCTGGTTGTTTACTCGAGTGACCAAGCCCATCGTCACATCTACATCGTCAAGGTCTACGCAGTGCTTTCTACCTGGACGACGGGATTCAAGCTCATCAAGATCCCAGTCAACTCAGACTGCAACTAGACTTTACCATCAGGCTGCTCGCTCAACTAGAATGGCTAGTGAATCTCCTCAAGTCGGAATTGGAGCCAAAACAAGATCTGCAATTCCTAGGAATTCGACTCATCACACCAGTGAATCGTATAGTCGTCCCTGAGGATACAAAATACAACAGATGATATCTCAAGCAATGCTCTCTCCGTTGACACTACGTGCTTGGCAAAGCATGCTCGGTCTACTCACCTCAGCTCAAGACATGACTCGCAGAGGGTGATTACAGTTGCGCCCACTACAAGTATTTGTGAATAGCCTAGATCCGATAATACTACCAGACAGCCTGAAACCATATCTTCTGTGGTGGACTCGGAAGTCGAACATTTGCGGAGGGACCTTTTTGTCAGAGCCGGTTTGCAACACTCATCTCTACGTGGATGCCTCCCTACAAGGATGGAGTGCGCACTTCAACAACGAAGTGGCAGCAGGGAAGTGGTCGAGTCAGGATCAGAAGTCACACATCAATCTGTTGGAGATGAAAGCAGTAATCAACGCTTTACAACATTGGTCCAGAGTACTAAAGAATGCACGACTCATGGTACACACTGACAACTCCACAGTGGCGTTTTACATCAACAAACAAGGGTCAACAAGATGAAGAAGTCTGCTGCAACTCAGCTTTCTCCTGTTCAGCATAGTCGACAACCTGAACATCTACATGAAGGCATACCACATTCCGGGAGCAAAGAATGTCATAGCAGACGCCCTATCTCGTCCACTACAACCATCTCCGACGGAATGGATGTTGCATCCAGAAGCATTCCAGTTCATCATACAGACTATAGGATCCCCACTAATATACCTGTTTGCAACAAAGTTCAACAAACAGCTACTAATGTTCGTCTCACTGATTCCAGATCCTCATGCATGGGCAACAGATGCTCTAAGCATTTCAAGGGAAGGACTAAACGCTTACGCCTTTCCACCTCCTGCACTACTACCACAAGTACTACAGAAAATCAAGCAGACGACTACGTTGCAACTGATTTTGGTCACGCCCTACTGGCCAGCGAGGGTATAGTTTCCCGTCCTCATACAAGAACTCGGACGTCCAACCCTGAAACTACCAGAGTGGTCGAACCTACTCGTCCATCCACACACCAAGCAAGCTCATGGGAACCCGACACTGTTCCAGCTACATGCGTGGAGCATATTAAAGCTTGCCTGAAGACTAGAGGGTACTCCGCCAGAGCAGTGAAAGCAGTAACACTAGCTCTACGCAGATCAACTTGCAACTTGTACGACAAGTGGCAGAGATTTTAACAATATGCAAAGAGGAAAGGCTTTACAGCAGTGAAAGCAACATATCCTCAAGTGGCGGAATACTTATGTCATCTACGACAGACGAGACACTTAAAAGCTTCAACACTCTCAACTTACTTAGCTGCCCTCAGTACAGTTATCACCATGAAAACGGGTATCAAGCTGACCAAAGTACCAGAAATTCTTGCACTACTACCCTCGTTCAAGTTGGAAGACCAACAAAAGAAATTTAAGGCTCCTGCCTGGGATCTCAACATAGTTTTACAACATCTCACCAGTGATGCATACGAGCGTCTAGAACGGACATCCTTTGAACTGCTAACTCAGAAAACGCTGTTCCTGATCGCCCTAGCAACAGCTGCAAGGATGTCAGAAATACATGTTCTGGACTTTGAACGAACACGATTTGAATCAAGACATTGTAACATCGTACATCTTGGACTGAGATGGGATTTTATCGCCAAGAACCAACTGCCTGGTCAGCCTGACAGACAGTTCCACATCCCAGCTCTATCTACAGTCCTTGGGCCACAGGATACGCAGGATCTATCCTTATGCCCAGTCAGAGCACTTAAGGTCTACTTACAAAGAACTAAAACAAGGAGACGAAAATTCAAGGGCCTATTCATCCCCTTATCCACTGAGACGCCTACGGAAGTCTCTCGGACGATATCGATCTGGATGAGAGCCGTTATACTAAGGGCCTATAAAGCAGAAGGACTTAAGCCTCCACGAGCCTCCACGGCGTCATCACTTGCTCTGCATGGAAACTGCTCGATTACAACTATAATGGAGGGCTGCTTTTGGTGATCGAACATGGTGTTTGCCAACCACTACCTCAGAGACATTGCCACTGAAGACGTCTCAGGCATTCACCAGTTTGGGCCACTTGTTGTAGCACAACTAACAGTTCCACAAAGGTGCTGAGTAAATCTCACCCCTTTTTATCACATGACTTGTGAAAACCAACGCTCTGGAGAGCAATGGCTATAAGACCATGCACACGTCTAGGACAGACTAGCATTAGTGATAGACCCTGAACTTGTATAGGACATACTCGTACATGAAGAAGGGTCGCATCTCCACTTGATGCGCGCATCAAGAGATGGAGTTGCAATAGATAACTAATGGAATATTAGTATATCTAAACTCCACACGAAGATGTCAGGAAGAAATCTGACAAGTTGTGGTCCCCCCAGACTCATCAGAGAAGTTGAAAGAATCTTCAACAGTGCCGTCATAAGTTCCCAAGGGGGGGTAGTACAGGACGTAAATCTACAACCAGTGAATCCAGAAGTGGCTTGACCCACCACCGTTTCCGACGGATTCTGCAAGCATAATTAGCATGAGTCAGGATAAGGAAAAATATGTAATTTTCTGACTAAAATTGATATTTTATTCTTATCCTGACTCATGAGGTTAGCCCTCCCAACCTCCCCTTTTATGTCACTCTGGATTTCCCTGTAAATCCGGGTGTCGTGCTTACATACGGAGAGAGTGACAAATATGGCCGATCATGTGACCATTTGGGCGCCAAAGGGAGGAAAGGGACGCTACTCTTGGGTGAGTGATTTTATGTCCACTTTTTTAAAGGGAATTTCAAGGGATTTCAAGTGTTCCACTATCATTCGCAAGAGGAAGACGACAAGCATAATTAGCATGAGTCAGGATAAGTATAAAATATCAATTTTAGTCAGAAAATTACATTTTTCATACCGTAATTTTATTAACCTTTTTAAACCTTTTCTAAAATGTCTAGAAATCAAATCATTTTGTCAAGATCTATGCATTTCTTTTCTTTTCTGCATTATGATCATATCTCATATACCAAACCGAAATGGACTGAACCGAAGGCCTTGTACCGCAATACGTACCGTACCGTTCATCCCACTAGCATAGTGGCCAGTACATTAAGAATACTGGGACAGAAAAAAACAGATGTTGATGGCACTCTTGGCCATCAGCCATTCTTACATTAACGTTCTGTACACATAAATGTGGTAAAGGTTTATCTTTCACAACAAGTATAAGGTGCTAGGAACTATTTAGAGTAAAGTGTCTTTCAGGGGAAAATTTGAATATGAGTGTAATTGAGGTTAGCGGGTGAAATGTAAGTGGCCAAATGTGTCAAAGCTTTCTTAGTTGTAACGGACAGATGTGTCTAACAATGAACAAGATCAGGAGTACACTTGTTTGTACTCCTTTGTATAATGAACTACATGCACCAGTAGTCCAGATGTTTCTAGTTCAAATGTTTTCTTGCAGTGGAGTCTAAAAAAGCAAACAAACAAACAAAGAATACAAGTTCTTCCTTGAAAGAAACAATAGTGTCAACTTCCCCAAAAGTGAAACCCCTCACTCCATGTTTGACAAACTCTATTGTCAAGTCAGTGCAGAAAAAGAAACGAAGAGTAACCATCAGCAACATAGTGGAGAAAGCCAGTGTCAGCTACTCAGGTGGGTCGTAGTGGAGAAAGTCAGTGTCAGCTACTCAGGTGGGTCATAGTGGAGAAAGACAGTGTCAGCTACTCAGGTGGGTCATAGTGAAGAAAGTCAGTGTCAGCTACTCAGGTGGGTCATAGTGGAGAAAGACAGTGTCAGCTACTCAGGTGGGTCATAGTGGAGAAAGACAGTGTCATCTACTCAGGTGGGTCATAGTGGAGAAAGTCAGTGTCAGCTACTCAGGTGGATCATAGTGGAGAAAGACAGTGTCAGCTACTCAGGTGGGTCATAGTGGAAAAAGACAGTGTCAGCTACTCAGGTGGGTCATAGTGGAGAAAGTCAGTGTCAGTATTATTTGTAAATTGTTATGACGTGTACTTCCCCAGTATAATTGCCCTGAAGGATTATCTTATCTTAGCTGATATCTCTATCCCCCAGCCCGACCCCAAAGATCGTCTGCGACACCCGTTTTGCTTTTGAGACGAACCCTCCTATCTGTTTCTTTTCGTAGTGACAGTGAGACTTCATGGTAGCTACATCCTTAATAGTTTCAGCATGGAAGTTATTACTTTTTACCTCAGCTCGCGTTTATAATGGAGCTACGTCTAATTTCAAATTGGGCATTTAAAAAGTGTCCTTTGTTATACAATATCGTTGCACACTAATTTGCATTAAGTCAGGGTCTGTTCCAAATAAATCGTTTTGCCGCATAATAAAACCGCATTGCTCATTTCTGTACTAATCTCTCCTCAGTAAAGTCCCTTTTCTACGTTTCCTATGTCTCTACCACTGAGACTGTAGTTAGGCCGAACTTAGTTTAACAGATATTTCCCATTGCGCATATCAACTACATAAATTGTAGAGATAAATGAGAAAATACAGTTTTTTTCTATTTTCGACAGTACTTTAGTGGTCTATTCTATAATACTTTTTATTATTGATCATGTGCCTGTGTTTACAGATTCCACAGGGTCAGAGCATGAACTTGAGATAGGTGACTCACCAAATTGCAGCAACTCCATGCCCAACATAAGTGATGTCACAGGCTCTCCCGTCCATATTTTTGAAATAACCAACACTGCGACACCTGTTCCCATAAGAGCACCACCAAAGTCTAAGATCAGTGAGTACATGCCCATCATCACACCCCTCCTGACATGGCTTGTACCAGTGCAGACCTCCAGGTGCCCACGCTGCGTTTTGTTCAGTTGAATTAAGATAAACTTGCTGTGTTTTGAAATGTTATGTAATTCCACTCTAGGATAGATATGTCCTAATTACTTGTGTATTTAATGTGTAAATCTGGTATTGTTTCAGTATGCTATAAATATAAGGATATGATGAAATTGTGTTATCATTATCGGTTATCATTAATGTGCTATTTTTGTATTTGAATTCTGTGATAAAATATCTGATATTTAGGTTCCAGTACACACACAAAATAAAGCTGTGACATTTAAAAAATATTGACATTAATTATGTATGTTTATAATGTAATTTTCCTGTGACATTTTCAGCAATTTTCCTTTAACTTTTACTGGTTGATAAAACAGATTAATTCTGGTTGTAGGATTAAAACCAAGGAAAACCAATGTCCCCATGTTTTTGTGACAGCATCATACATGTACTTGTGGAAGAAAGCAGATTGGTGACATCCAGGACCTGCATCAACATGGACTTCATGCATTAGTAATGATTCCATACTGTGTGTCACTTTTCAGTCTATCCCAGGCCTGCTCCTGAGGGTGTGAGGAGGTCAAACCGAGTCCGACTCAAACCAATAGAGTGGTTTAAGAATGAACATGTTATCTATGAACGAAGAAAGTCAGGTGGGTTGTCTTGAATCAGTGTCTGATAATAATAATGATGATAATACATCCACTGATATAAAGCTGAACGTGACGCAAGAACAGGCATGTTCTAAGCGCATACAGCTTAATAAACATTATTACCTCGGATTACCTAAGGTGCCTGTGGATCGCTATGAGGTTAATAGTCATATGACTTATCCCATTGGGCTTCCATTTTCTGCAGGGTGAACAGAGACAATTTTGGACTCTCTTGCCCAAGGTGAGACCATATATGTCATGTGTGCTTCGTTGTGGGGCAGGACAGAAGTCCGAGAAACTCGCAGCAGTTATGCTGCCAAACACGTCACTCATCCACAGACTCTCAACTGATTTGTGACCTGGACTTTATGTACAAGATCACACATCACCACTTCAGTAATAAGCAATTATACATCCCACAGTGATCTGTTGTTGGCCAGTGCCGTGTTGGTGTGATATAATTTCATCATAGATGTATCAGAGGCAAAACTAAGTGAGTGAAACCATTAGGGAAAATGTAATTAACGTATCAATGTTTAATTCGGTGTATGTTATTACATTAGAGTGTTGAGGTATAATTCCTAATTATATCCTTTTCCTTCACATGACTCTTGTGTCTTGTCAACACAAGTGTTACAGGTTTTGTATGGTTTTGTCCTTAGAATCTGCAAACATGGTTCTTAAAAGGCGTCAAGGATGACCCAAAACAGACAGTTCAATAAATTTATCCTGCAGTTTTGTACATTCTTGTTCATGGACCCACTCACTAATAAGGATGAGGTGAAGGGAAGTTACTTTCTCACTTTCTCAGTGTCAATCAGAAGCAGGATCAATGCTTTCGGAGGATATCTCTACACCTGAGTGTAGCTTTCAAAGTGTTGATCCTTCCACTTGTCGATATGGATCATGGATAAACTTTAGCTCTTCAACGTTGGATCAGTCGACTTCCTTTCCTTACATAAGTCTTGTAACATGTTCAGATCAGTCTTGTTATTGTTCATTTTTACTGGATCAGTATTGATGTAAGCATCACCGTTTCTTTGGGAAATATGTTTTAACCATCATCAAACCTTGAAGTATGCAATTCTAGGTTTAATGTTGTGAATGTTCCAGGCACTTTTGTGATTGCTGGTGTGAAGCCTTCGAAAGAAGCGGAATATCTAGCTGCTGAGGCAGAGAAGCGAAAGAGACGTCTAGCCAGAATGAAGAAAACCAAGGAAACAAAAAGTGGGTATAATAGCAAACATATTTAATCCAAAGTTATTGACACAAATGATGCGCACTTTCATCAGGTTCATATCCACACAGATATATAGTAAAGTATTTCAAACAAGGTAACAGTAGTATAGATTTTAATCGTTAATGACTATTTTGTGAAGGATACTTTTCTCTTGGAGCTTAATGACGAATATGTTTCTCTTTTCACAGGTTCAAAATTATCAAGAAATAAATTACTGGCCAAAGCCAACCTTTCTGTACACACTGATCTCTCTTCTACCCTGGACTACACTGTCAGCTCTGACTTCCCCGTCATGAACCCAGAGACACAGGAAGAGGTACTTGTAGGTGAGTTGTGTCCCTTTACTGTCAGTGGAGCTTGTAGGTGAGTTCTGTCCCTTTTCTTCCAGTGATGTGTGTAGGAGAGTTATGTCCCTTTCCTTCAAGTGAAGGTTGTATGTGAGTTAAGTCCCTTTTCTGTCAGTGAAGTGTGTAGGAGAGACATGAGCATACAACTCTTGCAGCCAATAGGCGCAAGTTATTGCGTCTCATCCTTACCAGGTACCCATTGACAGCTGGCTGGACTGGGACACATAGTCACAGTACTTTGTCCAAGTTTACTGCACGTTGCTGTACCCACAACTAGGTGTTTGCACGTATTCATGTGGCCACCATCTGGTCATATACCAACAGATTCATGGGTTCTTTTAAGAGCACAGGGTTGTGTACTGTACAGTAGGGGTTGTGACAACAATGAAAGAGTCTGCACGCAAAGTTTACTCCAAGTCGTGTCCCTTTCCTTCATGATCAAGTGGAGCTTGTATGTGAGTCATGTCCCATTCCTGCCAGTGGATTGGTATGTGAGTCATGTCCATTTCCTGTCAGAAGAGCTTGTATGTGAGTCATGTCCCTTTCCTGACAGAAGCTCTTGTAGGTGAGTTATGGCCATTTCCTGAAAGAAGCTCTTGTAGGTGAGTTATGTCCCATTTATAGCAGTTAAAGATCACATATACCCTAGGGGGTACAAATACATAAATCACTAACTGGCATCGTTATAAATGAAACCCCGTCATTAAAACTACTCATTTCGACCTTTAATTGACTTAAATCGACCTTTTTGACAACAGTGCACAATTCTCACCCGCGAACGAAATTTCAACCAATCAGAGCGGCACGTCTCTGTGACGTCATATGAGGAATAGTTTTGAGGGCCGATGCAGAATTGATCTACATTTTAGGGGGTAAATTATCTTGTTTACAGGCTTGTATAAATCTGAAATCGTGACAATTGTTGTGGAAAATGAAAGCTATATATTTTTCCTTATCCTGACTCATGCTACTTGCTTGTCTTCTTCTTCTTACGAACACAGTGGAACACTTGTATCTCCCAATTGAAGTTCCCTTCAATGTAAAATCACTAATTAGTACTCACCACGAGTTATCTGTCCCCTCAAAAGCTCGGGAACGAGGGCGCCACCTCCTGCCATGTGCCTCACTCTCTCCTTCTTCGCCCAGTGAGCAGGACGTGAGAGCGCCTGTGTCTCCCTACACATTATATCCTTTATTTATATTTAGTTGTTTACCTCCTATAATCATCTATAGAGGTGTAACTAAAGTACAGTCGGAAATGCTAGAAAAATGCTTTTTAGCCTTAATATCTTTATAAAGGTGATAAATGTACTATGTTGTCAATATATCAACTCGCCTATTGTCTACCTAATTTTAATTTCAATCGATTTAACATTCCCATGCATTTGAAGGGCAGTTTACAGGAGAAAATTTGGTACCAAAACAGCAACTTAATATTTTTTCAGAGTTCAACAACAGAAATCTGAAATAGTCTTTACATATATGCTAATAATACAGGTGGTGTAAAAATATGAATAAACGTTTTTCCTAAACAAAAAAATATTCAATGTTTGTGTTACTTTACTTAATTATCATTTCTTTATTGAAGAAATATTATTATATAAATGTTAAGTCTTGATAAATAAGTTTCCCGTCATGCATGCACATCTTTATCACAGCGTCCACTATGGCCAACGATTTGCAGTCGATTGTTGCAAAGGTTTATAGGGTTTTTTCTGCTTAAAAAAGACAGAGGTAAACCTTTCATTAGTTTAGAAAGGGTTTATTACAGAACTTGTAGAGCTGTTGGCATGTCTTACCAACAAGTTTACAATAGTGTAAACAAATCAGACAAGACAGGGACCGTCTCAAATGCAAAACCGGGACGTAAAACCATCCTTGACAACTTTGACAAGGGAGTGCTTAGACGGGCGGTCTACAAACTTTATGAGAAGAAAAATATACATATTCTAAAGAAGCTACACCAGTGACTTCGTTAAATCTTTGGCCAATGTTCACAACTAGATTAAACTGACCAATTACATCCATATGTTTTCAATGAAATATACTGTTGACATGCAAAACATTTATTCAAACGTTGCACATTTCTACAATCAATCGATAAGATAACACAAGTGATTGGACTCTTTCCAATGTACAGTAATTCGTATGTTTATTTCAAAACAAACACACATACACAAATGATCCCTTACATAACCGATACACATTATACTATAATGCACACATATTCAACATTTTGCAGAAAACATCTATTGAGATGACCCTCACCCGAAAGCGTGTGCTCAGGTGTCAATTTCACCTGTCGATACCGTCGATGCTGATGACGTAACACAGGCAATTAATGTTTGTATCAAATAACGTCCCACTACCCCTTATTTTTCTAAGTTTTTGGTATTTTCATCAGTAAAAACACATTTTAGGGCATGTCTCAAAATTTATTCTCTCGGTCTACATTAGGTAGATGTTTCTTGAAGTGATATTTGTTATTTAAGTAACTGTAATACCTCTGAATTTTAAATATAAGTCAAAAAGCATTTTTCTAGCATTTCCGACAGTACTTTAGTGTCCTTCTACATGATGCATTGATATTTATTCGTGTTTCTACTGTTTTATTCATGGTTCGCCGTGTTTGCTCAGTAGATTGCGTTAATGAAAATCTGCACTGTTTGTAAATTACATTTCTCTAGCTGCTGATCCGCATTTAATATGCCCTAGTTGTACTACGCCATGCTCTACTGTTTCACATTGCAATCATTGTATTAAATTATCTAATTCTGCCTTTGATAAATATTTATTTTGCGTCTTGAGACGCGCAGCAGATAGATCACGGAAACAGACTTCAGTCATGGCTAATAGATCAGAGTCTGATATACCATGTCAACTGTTGGCGGACGACCCCCTACCGTCTGGTGTTCCGCTTGAGTTACCCTCGGGGGAGAAGCGGGGACGCAGTCCGCTATCTCCAAGAAGCGACCTGCATCCCAGGACATCCCGTCGTCCCCAGTCTAAGACCAGGAGAGCTTCCACGCCGCCACAACGCGACGCCCACACCCCAAGGCTACATCTTCGCCGAAAGTGAAACCTACTTAAGACTACTAAAAATTTCATCTGACATTCTTCCTGTTTCAGAATTGGGCTTATATGATGACGATCTACCGATCATCATTCCAGATGTATGGCATAAGAAGCGACCAGTATCGGCTACCGTCACCTCAGCGCAGATCAACACGCAGCTAGAGATGCCTACACTGACGGCAGAGAATCTACCTGAGGGTCCCGTCGCTTCCATTAAGAGGGCAGCGTCAATATCAGCGCAGACCGTCCCAGACGACCTGGTCAGCCAGATTATGATGTTGATGGAAGATCGATACGGTTTACAGAGGCCTCAGAGCTGCGGGCCCCAGAGCCCACCCCACTTACAGTCTTGTAGGGCCCCAGAGCCCGTTTGCTTGACTTCGCTTAGGGCCCCAGAGCCCACAGACGCTGCTCCACGAAGGGCAACCCAGCCTCAGATCGGGCCTTCGCGAAAGGACGTCCCAGTCCGCTTCTCCACGAAGGACCCAGATCCTCATCATTCATGAAAGGCTTCAATGGAGGAGGAGTGCTTCACCGAGCTCAGACCCTGAAGAACACAGAGGTCGTTCGCGAAAGCAAGCTCCTATCTAATGATTCGGACTCTGACTCGATACCTTCACGAAGGCCTTCACGAAGGTTAAGTGGCTCCAAGTCATCTTCACCCAGAAGATCTATAAGGGATTCACCGAGAGCTTCACGAAGCCACCAGTGTTCGTCAAGGAAGTCTCCACAAAGGTCTCCCTATACAAGCCACTTGTCAGTCCGTTCACCACATTCTTCTCGTCGATCCTCATATAGATCTAGGACTCCACCTCACTCTATTATCTGTGATCCGACGTCAGAAGAGGAAGAGGGTATCGTATTTTCGGATGCAGAAATTAGATACTGGATGGTGAATGGGTTGGAACTTTCCTCCCCGTCTAAGAACGAGAACTCAGCCCATACTTATTTGATGAAGGAAGATGATGCTGACACTATCTCCTTACCTCCTATTGACCCGATAGCAGCGGTTCCAGCTAATCTGGATGCAGCTTTTACCAAATCTACGAAGTTTCAGACAGCACATTTCCCGGTTTTCAACGCTAAGAAGTTTGCAGGCCACAATATGGACTCCTTTTTCAAGGCTCAAGATATTGATGAGAACTTTAAGTTAATCAGTGATGCCAAGTCCAGGAATTATAGAATAAACAACCGCAAGCTAGCCCAGTTGGATACCATTTCTAGGAGAATGTTATTTGGACTGAATAGATCTAGAACTGTCAATGAAACTCTCCTCACCAAGTTCAAAGACTCTACAGAGGAAGAAGATAGGATGATTTACTCGGCTCTACTCATGCAGAAAAGAGACCAACAGTTCCTAACAGATCATTTGTCAGCGCTTTCTACAGCTACTACTATGGCTAGTCGTCAAGGTCTCCTAGCCTCCTGTAATTGGGGTGATCAATTTACTGAATCCCTCTACGCTGCCCCGTGGTCATCTCCATATCTCTTTGGTGGTAACATAGACAAGGTCTCCAAAGAAGTGTCTAAGGACTCTAGAGAGGTGCTTATGATTAAGTCCATGCATGCGTTTGCTAATGTCATTAAGCAAACATCTATGAGATACTCTGGCAAGTCGAAATTCTCTGGACTACAGAAAGCACGGGACAAGAAATTGACTACAGCAAAAGGTTCTAAGGAGTCTTTTCGTCGCCAATACAGCAATTTCAGAGGAGGATCAGCAAGAGGCAGGTCATCCAGAGGTTCCCGCACTTATAAACGATGAAGTACAGGTTCGGAACGACTGGAGTCTTCCATCCCCAGCCGTTCCAGTACAACCATCTCAAGTGGGTGGACGCCTTCATCTGCACTGGGAAAACTGGGGATTCCTACAAGATCCTTATGTATCCAAAATCCTACAGCAT